CCTGCATTACCAGCCCACCAGGGAAAAAGCTCCTCCACCACCCACTACATCGATGTGTCGAAATTTGCCCAGCCTCTAAGATGAATTCATGACGAGTCTTGAAGTTTCAGTAACCCGGGCTACCCAGCACTCGTCGGAGAACAAATCGATGAAAGCACCTTCGTGTTCGACCCAAGGATGTCGTGGGCCACTCAAATGGGCCCTAGATCTTTGGAATCGAAAACGGATTGTTGGAGATTTCGTGGGGGTTTTTATTCGAGATATTCGAGTCGGAGGATGTGACACTTATTTGACGGACGATAATATCACTTGGAGCCTTCCTCCTCGACTGAGTCCCACGTTCCTTAGCACACTATTCTCATAGTTCGCCAGATTGCTGACGGTGCGATGGGGAGGGTTTTCAGCGCAGGCAACGCCTCACTTTATTGATACCGACTCTGGGTCTTGGCTTTCATCATGTGAAGATAAGATGGCAACACCTAGTGCAGACTTGAGGCCAACCATTCATCTACACGTCGTCCCGACCGGTGATGACAACAGTAATGCCGCTGGCCAGCCTCACCTCGGGCCAGAACTTGAGACACGTCAGCTTGCTCCATATTCGGCAGTCAGTTCAGCGTATCAAACTCCTTCGCTTTCGATGAGACCTGTTTACACGTCAGCAGATGGTCATTCATCCTGCTCATGTGATCTGTTTTTCAGGGGGCTGCAGTAAGGTGTCAACGTTGTTGGGACCAGCGGTCTGCACGATAGGTTTGAAAATGCCTCCAGACTCCAGCAAAACAGAGAGATAACATTGTTACACAACCTATCTAGCGTACCTTGGACAATTTTTCTGTAGGTAGTGATCAGGCTGGCTGTTGATGTCTAATCAGGCAGATTTGGAGCACGCCTTCTGACTAGAGCCGCGAATGGTCTGCATGGTTCGCCTATGGGAATGGTCCACCCAGGCAATGTGGTGTTGGGTATCCCGCCGTCCCCCGCTTCATTTCTCTTTTGAGGCATATGAGGGACTGCACCCCTACAATCAGTCCTGCTCAATCGTTTATATCTCGTTATCTCCTAGCCTTCAGGAATCTCTCTTTGCCCGGTTCACAGAGCTTCTCGATCAAGGAGGGGCCGAGAAAGTCTTTCGTTTGCCCAGCGGTCTCTGGGCGGACACCATCAACCTTTGGCACCATATTAAGCACTTCGAACTTCATTTTTATCATCAGGTCACAACTTGAGACACGCGAATATATAGGGCCCTTCCCGACATCAACTTTTTGCCACAAAGTCGAAACGTATGAGTCGTCAAGCGTTGGAACCCTTTCTTGAACAGCAAGACCGGCCGATTGATACAATGTGTCTACGATCATGATTTCTTGGGCACATCACCTGCTCCGAACAGTTCGAACGGAAACAATGTGGTCCCCAGGAATATCAGATCAATGAAATGCTATCTTTAGGCTTCTGCGTCTCGGCTTGGTACGATGCGGCTCGGCTTCAGCCAGCGTAATAAGTCGTTCTCTACGCAGCCCAAATTGCGAAACTACTACGGCATGTATTATGAAGCTATTCCGATACCTATGGAACTTCTAAACATCCCAAATACGGTATCTCGAACATCATGGAGGTTCCGGTTCTCACGAGTCGGCCGATAATCCAGGCAGCATTGCCAGGCCCTTCAAGAGGCTCCTTGGAAGATTGGCAGCATCTTTAGACATCCCTTGACACCACCTTGCGATGGCTATCATGATCCAATGCTGATATCTACTGCTTTCTGATCGTTGCTGGATGGATGAGATGCGTTAGCATGCAATGGCTATGATAGAATAGAGATGCCCAAAGCCGTGGACAAAGCGCATCACAAATGTCTGGTTCTTGTTGGCCATGACAGACTGACAGAAGTCGTTCTTCTGACACCCATATTCTAGACTATGCCTGACTGTGGTAAGCTCGAGGATAACGATGTGCTGTTCGATCTCTGTGCTTCTCACAGGAACACCGACTGCACATGTCGAAACAGTGTTCCTGAATTTGGAGGAAAAACTATTAGGACTGGTAAGATAGAGGCTACCTCCGTACCCTACAGCTTCGCGAATCAATACTTCCCAGTTGTACAGATGCTGGACAACCGAAAGGACCGGAACGCTTAGGCAAGTTACATGCTTAGATATTGTTCAACAACGATGTCAAGCACCAACAGCCCTCTTGGACCTTTGCCATCACGATTCAATTTCTGAGCCGTGTAGTGATCGATCACCAATCATCATGATAATGGTTCTCGTAAGATACGGATTGGTCCCATGTTTAGGACAAATACATGCTCTGTGTCAAGAAGGCACTGCAACAGCTTCCTCATCCTTCTTCTCTGGCTTCCGACCCCAAGCAGCATACCTAGAAGTTCCGTTAGTTGATATTGGGTGAAGAATATCAATGTCTAATTCACTCACACGTCGTAGTATGCGTGAACTCCAATCTTCTTGTGCTCGTTCCTCACTTCAGCAATGAAGACCGTTGCCTCCTCCTTGGTCCAGTTCAGAACGCGAGTGAAGAGGGCCATCGAGGCTGCTTCAATTCCCGAGCCGGCAGATGCTTGAGCCCACAAGCCTAATTCCTTGAGCTTTGGATCCTTAGGCCAGGGGTTATAGGGCCAGATGGCCTTCTTCTCCTCGACATCGACAAAGCCTGCATCCTCCAACATCTGTTTGAAGCTGGCGGCGACGTTTACCGGACGACCCATTGTTGCAGCTGCTTCCATGACCAACTTCGTCCACTCGAAGGGCTTGAAGTCGTCAGTCATCGTGTCGTCTCGACACATAAGTGGGAACATGTTGTCCTGAAGCTCAAGATAACCGCCTGGCTCGAGACGCCTGTATTCAACATCTGTCAATATCAACGACCTGCTGATCGAGGTGTGCTACTCACTCATAGGCCTTGGCAATCATTCCCGGCCAATCAGAAAAGCTCGCAATCATGTTTCTGACAAAGATGAGGTCAAACGGCTCTGACCAGAGCCACTCTTTCTCAACATCGTCAACCTCAAATGAGCAGTTTGGAGGTACGCTACAGTCGAGTATTAGCTGAGGTATCGTCTCTGTTAAGTTTGAACTCACAAGCCGGGCTGGATCGGGCTAAGGTCAACACCAAGCACCTAGAGAAAGTCAACGACTGCAACCGGCTTTTGTATATTCGTTGGAAATTACTATAGCTTCAGCGTGGTCGTCCGCTACATCCATATTAGTCACCATTACCACATAGAAGGCGGATTGACCTACCATAGTCTAAGGCCCAGACACCAGTCCCAGTACCGATGTCTAGCACTCGCTTCGCACCAGCGTTCTTGGGGCAGTTGCAAAGTTTGTTGTCCCATGTAAGTAGCCACAGGTTATGGGTGAGATCTGGCAACATATGAGCTTGATTTAACAGGCGCATGCGGTGTTCAGCTTACTTACCAAGTCTGTCTTGCTCTCGCTTGAGGTTGGCCAACCGTCAGAAATAAGCAAATCGTTGAGAGAGTCATGGATTAGTACCTCGTCGTTGGGAAGGAGATATTCTGTTCATGATGAGACCTGGTTAGCCTTCGCAAAATGTGTTGGGCTAGATGGGAACTTGCTTCCATCGCTGAGCCGATGATAAGTCCGACCATTTTCTCGGCGGTAGTCGAGGATGCTGGACCTCAGAGAAGCCAGCGAATCATCTATGGACTACATGATGTTAACCCAAATTCAAAGCCAAATAGCCTGAGAAATATCTCTCACCGATCCATCGATGGAGGATGCACCATCGTCGATCTCGGGTTCCTGGAACTCATGTCAGCCACAACTTGCTATCTTATGGGCAACGAGCACAGGAGATTGCAGCTGGATACTTACCGCAGCTATTATCGGCTGCTGTGCCTGATCAGCCATCTTACAATGTCGAGCAAGGAAGATTCTGAGTCAATACTGGTGAAAGCAATGATGAAGAACAGAACTATGAGTGAGGAAGAGTCCCAAGTGAGGGGGCAAAGGGCTGGGTAAATGTAATCTCGCGTCCTTCCGTAACGAGAGGGCCCCTGGTCGTGTTCTCCATGTTGATGCATTGCCCCCCGCTTGCATCCCTCTGTTGGTTTGCAGAACTGTGTTTGTTTATTTTTGATTGGACTTTGCCATCATTATCATCTCATGCATGCATATGCAAGGTGCCCGGAACCATCATTCAGTGTCCCGTGGTGGACAATGAATCGAAATACGGCAACACAGCGCCGAATCCATGGGTCCTTGGTTTCGCAAGTGACGGGGTATTCCACCGGTTACGATCTCTCCAATATCACAAACGGATATGCTCGCCGGGAACAGGTGTCCGAAACTTCTTGTTTTAGCAAAGGGTAATGGCTCAATTCTATGGAAACTGTTTAAATAAGGACATCAATTGAGAGAGGATGCTACCAAATACCATGCATGTTTAAGCACTCCCTCTTTCGGCGGGTTTCTTGAGCTTGCGTGCATATGCAAGGTGGCCGGGACCAGTATTGAACTTACCCAGTTGACGAGGGTAATTCCAACTTAGAATGCCAGGTGCGTGACAAAACTAGATACTAGTCAAGAAAAAATCATGATAATTACTTGCTTAGGTATTTTTTCTGGCTTTCTTGGTCTCTGGTTTCTTCTTTTATCGTTATATATAATATTGCTATTACTTTCCTCCTGCATATAAATATTCACTAGAGAATACTCTTCGAAAGAAGAACATAAATTAGGAAAGTAGAAGAATAGCTAGAGAATATGATAGAGCTACAAACGGTTATGTAACCCAGTTGAATGTGAAAAGGTTGCTAGATTCGCTGGCCATCTTGGTGAGGTCGAGCCGTGGATGCACAACCGCGCATATGTGAAGATCGGCTGGAAAACATCGCAACGGGGCCTTTACACTTTCGAATACCAGAACAGGATTTAAATCATCTACTTTTGAGTTTCTCATCTTTCTCAGGAATATGTTACAACCAGGCTGGCTTCTATGCGATTTGCCATTGACGGCTACACCGAGGCCCAATGCTCGACAGCGGCATAACTCTCCTGAGCTTCATCCTCTTTCCGAGGCTTCCGACCCCAGACTGCATAGCTACAGAATCATCAGTCAGGAATCCCACTAGAAGATCTAGTAATTGACTTACACATCGAAATAGGCGTGGATATTCTGCTGCTTCAACTCCTCTCGAGCTCCAGCGCAGAACACCAACGTCCGCGCCCGCGACCATCCCAGAACGCGAGTAAATAGAGCAAGCGAGAGGGCTTCCAGGCTTTCCATGGTGATAGACTGACACCACAAGCCCAATTCATGTTCTTTGGTGCCCTCTTCGGGCCACGGCCCAATCGGCCATATCTCCTTCCTCTCATGCACGTCTTCAAACCCAGCGTCTTCGAGCATCTGCTTGAATCTCGGGGCGTCATCAAGTGGCTGTCCAATCATTCCGGTGCTTTCAACGAGCAACTGAGACCACTTGTATATCAATGAATCTTCTGGCATAGTCCCGTCGGTACAAAGCAAAGGGAAGACATTATCCTGCATTTCCAGGTATCCACCGGGTTCAAGATTCCTACATTGTCAGATGGTCAGTTGTATATACATGTAAGACTGCAACAGAGCTTGGGCGACCAACTTGAAGGCTTGGATTACGAAGTCTGTGCGACTTTTGAAGCAGGCGTTCATAGACCTAGAAAATATGAAGTCGAATGCCTCTAACCAAATCCACTCTTTCTCAATATCGTCAACCTCGAAATGGCAATTCGGAGGGACGCTGGTAGGTCAGTACGCCAACTCTCTTTTCATCGGGACAAAGTCGACTCACAATTCAGGCTGTATAGGGCTCAGGTCAACACCCAAGACCTGTGCATCTGAATATTAGAGTTGTTTGATGCACGACTTTGCAGGTATTAGTCGTCTTACAAAAGCTCCGGGGTGTTCATCCGCTTTGGTGCCATTAGTACCTCCATGATTTGCCATTGAAGCCACTCAGCAGACTTACCATACGCAAGAGCCCATATTCCAGTTCCGGTTCCAACATCAAGCACTCTTTTAGCGCCGTATAATTTAGGGCAGTTACATAATTTGCCATCATAAGTTAACTTCCAAAGATGATGAGCAAAATCTGTTTAGCAAGCTTAGTACTCTGTTTCATTCTCGAAGCTTCCTCACTTAGAACACGTACCTAGGCGGTCCTGTTCTTGCTACATCATGCGTCAGCAATTCAGTCCCTCGGATTCCAGCATCCTAGCGCACCTCGTCGTTGGGAACGTGATAGCCTGTATTAAAGCCTTGTAAGTGGCATGTCAAATGTTCAGTCTGAGAGACACTTACTTCCATCACTTAGCCTGTGGTACGTCCGGCCGTTCTCTTTACGATAGTTCAAAATACTGGACCTCAAGGAAGCCAGCAAGTCGTGTGGTTAGCAGGGAAATCTATCAGGAGTCTGGGTAACACACAGATCCTCCTATGTAATAGGTTTCCTCGTCAGTACGATCATCCTGTTCATCAAATTAGCACACTCATCCGCCCATGTGGACGATGGCACTGCACTCACGTTTGCCGGAAGTTGCCCGTCATTTGCCATGTTGACTTGTAAGTTGATTCAGCTGTCTTGATGTTCACAGAATGGCAATGGCAGGCTTAAAAATGCAGTTGGAAAAATGAGGGGAAAGGAGGAGAGCCGACTGTTGGTTGCCCCTTGGCTACCCTTGCCACCATTCTTCTACACTTCCAACAACCATTCGCTAGACCCGCTTGTTATTATTCAGAGGCCAGCATGTATCGATTGTGATTGGCTTGCACTGTCATCGTATCACCGGGCCTGCATGTTTGCTAGCTGTACGACAAGGATTGTGAATGCAAGCTCCATCACTCTTGGGCGTGCTCAGAACTAATACGGGCAGAATGACCGAGTAATATTGCCGCAGCACCAGTTCCTTTCTGGATCCCTTCCCTTTGCGAGTACCATATCGTACGACAGTGCAGCGTTTCCCACCTGCTAGGCCTTTTTAGTCATGTTTGCAACAGGCATTCAGCAGGCAAGGATGCCGTCTTACTGATGAACGGCACGTGGGTAGCATGTGGAAGAATATGCAGTGTGTATTGAGAAAGAAGAATGTGCAAAATATCACAGATATCTAACTAGCCTCCTCCTCCCCCTCCTTCTTCTCGGGCTTCCGGCCCCAAGCAGCATATCTATTCCGATTAGTTAAATGACCCGTACTACACGGCAATGAGTGAATGGGTGACTGGGTACTTACGCATTGAAGTAGCCGTGGACTTTCTGCTGTTTCAATTCATCCCTGACCCCAGCGCAAAATACGAAGACTTCTTCTCGAGTCCAGCCAAGCACGCGTGTGAACAAGGCCATGCAAATCGGCTCAAGGCCTTCCATGGTACCGGCTCGGGAGCAGATTCCCAACTCCCTCTGTTTCGGATCCTTTTGCTGCCATGGGCTAATGGGCCATTTCTCTTGGCGTCCCTGAACATCTTCAAACCCGGCATCCTCGAGCAACTGCTTGAAGGTGGGCGCAACAGCCATTGACTTCCCCACGATGTCTGTGGCTTCGACGATGAGCTGGGTCCACTTCAAGACTTGGGAGTCTGCGGGCATGGAACCATCATCACAGAAGATGGGAAACTCATTGTCTTGGATCTCAAGATACCCTCCTGGTTCCAAGTTGCTTCGAATCGTCGTTAGTCGGGGCAGAACCCCGCCTATGGCGTGGTCAGGGGCACTTACTCGTAGGCTTGCTTGATAACGTCGGGCCAGCTTTTGAAACTTCCAACCATTGATCTGATGAATATGAAGTCGAAAAGCTCTGTCCAAGTCCATTCTTTCTCGAGATCATCGATTTCGAAGCGGCAATTGGGTGGAACGCTGCCGAGAACGGTCAAAATACGGTCCCCTTCATGCCTCTAGCAAAGGACTACTCACTAGACGGGTTGAATAGGGCTCAAATCAACACCGATAACCTAGATTGACTCATCAGTGGGATTCGCTATGTACGAAGGAAGTTGGTTTGACATACGCTTGCTTCGGGGTGATCGTCCGCTATCAGACAATGAGTAAGCAACCAAAGTTCAAATGCCGTGTCAAGGTATCCTCGAGCCCTCCCACTTACCATAATCGAGGGCCCAGATGCCCGTCCCGGTTCCAACATCCAAGACTCGCTTGGCGCCCTTGACTTTAGGGCAATTACATAGCTTCCCGTCCCATGTAATAATCCACAAGTGATTGGCGAAATCTATGATGAGCTGTTGGCTTGCGCGTCCAGAATATGAAAACCAGGCTAGCACGTACCTAAACGGTCTTGTTCCGTCTACGTTGTGCATGAGCAAGACAGGACAACACCTAGAGATACGCAAAATATCTCACCTCATCGTTAGGAAGATAGTACTCTGTTCGATGGTCTCAGTAATCATTTGCCAGAGCCGAAGATCAAATTAACTTACTCCCATCACTGACTCTGTGATACGTGCGTCCATTTTCCCTCCGATAGTCGAGGATACTCGACCGTAGAGAAGCCAGGGAATCATCGGTAGACTACTTGTCGTCAACATTGTGGAAAACGCCCGTTTTTGCCTGAGATACTGACACTGTCACCTATAGTTGAAGCGCCGTCGGTGTCTTGAGGATCCTGTCTGTCATATCAGCCCGGACTATGATTTCGAAATTCTGTGCAAGTTTTACTCCGTACATTAGCTGGAACATTGTCTGTAGTTTCGGCCATGCTTGAGTTATGGAATGCACAGTCTGCGTATGTGGTTTTGGAACAAGAGAGTGGCTCTGGAAAAGATTGAGGGGTAAGACGGGGTTATATGGTATTTGCTGGTCGAGCTTGTTGGCGACGGCGAGGTGAGCCCGTTATGCATTCATAGGAATGTATGCGTACGGCGTAAGCGCCAGCAACTCCACTCGTTGGTTTCTCGAATTTCGTTCTGGTTGAATGATTGGACCGAACCTCGTTCGTCAACCCATTTATGCATGCACCGGCTTGGTTGGTCGGTCTTTGAGCCTAATCTGGCCGGAACAGCGGAAATACAGCCGGTCTTCGGGGAAATATGCTTGGCAAGATGCAAGGTGATATGGATTCGTTCGAGATTGATGTTAAGTGCCCATTTCGAGAAGTGGCTGAACCCATGAGCAGAACAGCGCGCATGCGCACTTAAGCCCCTCTGTCCTTTGGAGATGCAGCACTGTGTCTGTTCACTGTTGCAAACATCACAGACGAACATGTGTCTATGCTTAGACTAGCGAATATCACGGCCATAAGATCAAGAAGGGGAGCTGAGATTAGAATCGATTGGAGACTATGACAGCCCAAAGTCTCTACTCTTCTCAGGTGAAGTTTTACCTTATATCTTCATGGTCAAACAGATCTTTACGCTCATCACATCAAGTAGAGCCACTTGCAATTTACAACCCTGATTCTGAGAATAGCCGTTTCGTGCCTCTTCGACGTCAAATGCGTGAGCAATGATCTAGGTGAAATGTTTTGTATGGAAATACCCAAAGCTTTCCGCTTGCGCACCCGTATGGTAGTCCAACTTCAGCCACTCCCGTAGTTTACTTCAGTAGAGCTGGGCTTGTTGGTTGATGAGTCCGTTGAACCGTCTGACTTATGTTTCGTAAAGCTCTGCTGGAAGGTTTTGATGGCTCTAGTTGCTCGGCTTTTGTGGTGATCGATGGCAGACTTCAAGTCTCGGGGATTGTGGGAAAGAGGCACGAGGGTGTTGCCGTCTTGGAGGTGTTCCTGCTGAAACCGAGCCAGCTGGGACTGTCGAGATATGTGACTATCAAGAGGGTTGATCCGGGGATGAGTTGAATCACTGGGTTCACAGAAAGGTTAACACAGTCTTCTCAATGGAGGGACAGAGCTTCAACTTACATCCCATGATCAGGACTAGAACCAGGAGAAGACATGGCCGCGGCTCAGAGCAATGGATGAGATTTCTCGATGAAGTTATTACATTGAAGCTCGGTGATCTCGACTTACTGGAACAATGTTCTCTACGATACTGGCGAGGGGAGGGTCTTATACAAGATCAAAATCTTGGCCAAGTGCGGCTGGGAAGACTGTATATAACGGTAGTCATGTCAAGGTGAACAGGTTTGGAACGGACATGAGGTACTGGCGAACTGCCAATGCTGCTCTCGAAGCCAGATCAACTTGAGCAAGAGCTATTGAGTTCGACACAGGAAGAATAATACAATGGTCCGCCGGTGACCCGCGGCCGTTCGCACATGGACTTGATTTAACCGCCATCCCACCGTCACCGGTGATTTGCCCCAGACTGGAGATGACCAACTTCGCATACTGCTTCACACCCCCTTGTCGTACCGCATCCAACCTGGCTTGCTCCTCCTAAGGCTACGGGCCGTTACACCCACTTCCAGCGTCCCAGAAACCCGGTGCGTGGCAAGTCGGAAGGCTGTCTAAGCCCTTCATGGTATCGTCCCCGTCCAAGAACCCCTCAGGTAGTCTTCTTTCATCCTTCGAGAACATGCAAGGACACTCGACACCTTCCTCAAGGAGAAGCTCGTGTGTCGACTAGGGAAGATCACTCTTGGACCTAGGAAGAATACTCGTCACATATTGCCCAATATGCATGGTATAAGCAACGGCGATCTTGAGGGATAATCTCGTGGGCTCCACCACATGGTTCTCGGAGGTCTCCAAGGCGCTAATAACACGGCACCGGCATTCAATGAGACGTTGCACATGTTTCTTGTCGGGGAAATGAGGTCCCTGCCGGCGGTTGAGGTCGGAGCCACTGCGGAAAGTCCGTTACTGTCTCCGGAGTGATTGTGGCTGGTGTTCTGCAGCTAACAAATCCAAGGGCTTCAATGGAAGCTTCATCGTGCATGATGTGGCTAGTGCTTCTGGCTGGTTGGCTGAAATGGTGATGGAAGGCAGAAACGATAGGCAACCAGCCACAAGTTCGGCCATGTGGTGTCTCTGTATTCTGATTTGCTGGAATGCGAGCAATGAAGTGATGGTTGCTGAGCCGCTCACTATGCTGCATTGATTCGGCCCTGGAGAGGGAGGGATACATCGCGTTATGAGGGACATTTCTGCCACCACCCTGGTTTATCGCTCTTTTCTCGGTGCTACATTGGCTAATGTTACACGAGGATGCTGACCAGTTACCTGGCAGCTTGTTTGAAGATTGAAGGAATGGCAGATCAAGTTGCAGTATTCAATTTCAGGCCGAGGTCGCGAGGCTCCAACTGCCACGCCTCCGTGGGAAGCAGCTGTTCGATCTCCAATTCTTTCTCAATTCTTTCTCAATTCTTATCAAGACCCTCCATACCTTACCCTGGTATATTTCGAAACCGCCAGTGTGACCGATTCACGGTTGGATGGCGGCGGCCGCCGGCGGCGAACGAAGAACTTCTCAGCCACACTCAACTCCCGCCAATTGAATATACGCTTGGGCTCTAGCCACCGAGGCAGACTCTATGAGGCATTCGAATTCCGGGCTTTTCAATGGTTATGCTACCTGTAAAACCTGAAGATTTGCCATATTTCTCACGGCTACGCGGCATGATGGGCACTGGTGTGGGAAACGAGGTGGTGTCCGCGATGTGATGTGAAGTCGGAAGAAAAGTCCACAATTGAGTTCCAGGTGTCTTAGGGGGCCCCAGTCATGGTCCGCGGGGAGGTCTCGGGCGATGCCGCCTTGTGGCAGGTGTTGCAGGTGCATCAAATGGCTCGTGCAGCCAATTGAGCTCCCCTGTTCTAAGCAAGTCCCAACGCCATCTTCGCCTGCACAACTCCCCTGCCTCACACGTTGACCACCTTTCCGGAATAGGACGAATCCCCGCGAGATGTATCTAACAGCAGGCATCTATTCACGAATGGCCTCATCAGGCACACCACAATAAAATATGTCAGTCGAAATCTCGACTAGGTGACTACCGTGTGTCTTTTGAAAGGGGCCTGACAAGCAAGCAAGATGCTCGAGGAAGCAATGCCGCTGTATGAACCCCTCGATGCTGGCAAGTCGGAAATCAGGCTTCTCGAATATGTCAGCTTCTCTGGTCAGCCATCTCTGAGACTCAGTCAGGTATCTCTCGACGAAAAGCCTGTGTACACAGCCCTATCATACGTCTGGGGAGATGCTTCCATCACTGAGTCAATTCTTTTGAACGGCCAGGAGTTTCAAGTAACCAGAAACCTCTTCCACGCTCTTCAGCATCTCCAAGATCATTGGATAGACACATTTCCTGGCCGACATCCGCAAGGCTTCAGAGTTTGGGTCGATGCCCTTTGTATCAACCAACAAGATGTCGCAGAGCGGAATCAGCAAGTGCAACTGATGCGCCGAATCTACGCGAGTGCCGAGCTCGTGTTTTCGTGGCTCGGAACGGATTCCGAGGAAATTGGCGCAGCATTTGATACGATCAACCTGGTGGCTCATGAAATGGACAAAGTCGTAGGACGACGCCACATTGGAGGAGTCGAACCACACGAACTGATCAGCTGGATGAGGGATTGGCCACAGCTCATCTCGGCTGACATAGGACCTGAAGATGACTGGCATTCCAATCAGTCGTGGAAGAGCATGCGGTCTCTTTTCAACCTACCGTACTGGTTTCGCGTATGGGTCGTTCAGGAAATTATCCTCGCAGACAACCTGGTCCTGTTGTCTGGGAAGTCTTCTGTTGACTGGATAGCGCTGTTCCTCACATGCAGTTGGATTGGGAGGTTGAAAGAGGTCCGAAACTACTTGCAGAAGCCTTCGTGGATGGTAGAGTCTGCCTGGCTCAGCATCACGTCGTCCGATAGGGTGCCATGGCACAATCCCATGCGGCTCATGAAGGCGAAGCACCTACACAAAAGACCAGAGACGCTGAGTGCAGTTGAGTGGGAGAGCTGGGGCTGGCAATTGATGAGCTGGAACCACACCCTCGCCGCCACCGACCCCAAGGATAGCATCTACGGCTTGCTTGGTCTCACGAAGTTGCCCCTCATTCCCGACTACAGTACGGACATCTCGGTTGCTTCGGTATATGTCGAGTACTTTGCTCAATACCTTGCATTCTGGAAACAAACAGGACAAGGCAAAGAGCTTGAACTTCTTCCAATGGCTGGCCTACACATGACCATGGGCGCGACTCAACCACTGGTTACGGCAGACCTTCCAACATGGGTTCCGAACTACCCATACGCATGGAGTGAATCAAACAGGTCGTTTGAGCCGATCATAGGAGACGCTGATAATGGAGTTTTCGGGTCAGATGTCCCAGATGCGAACATCTCGGGCAAAAGGCACTTACTGGTGTCCGGCATTCGTATCGGCGAGGTACTTCGCAACCTGCCGAAGCCAACATTATTCGATACTGAGCATAAGCTTGTCAAACTCATCGAACAGCTGGTAACCAGCAACACTCAGTTTCCCGGTGGGATGACTGCGCAGGAAGCCGTATTTCGCGCGGTGTTCGAATCAGGCGGTCGTGGCGAAGCTGTCCTCTTTCGGTATCCCGAAGCCCGAGCTGAGATGGCTCTCGGCTTCTTGTTTCACTTGATGTATATCGATCGGGAATACGCAGAGGAGCCATTAGGACAGCGCCTATTCGAGCTACTCGGCCTCGACGACAGCAGCAGCGAGGCGTTCAATGATAGCATCTCGAAAGCATTTATTTCTGGCCATAAAATCGAGGGTCCATGGCTGGAAAGGCTCGCAGAATGGAATCCAGAGGATGGCCTTTCACCCGAGGTTCACGACCAGGTGAAGTCGGGTGTGACCGCCTGGGACTGGCGTGATCGCGGGATGTTGCAGATAGGAGGAGCCGGGGACAGCTACATTGGCGTTTCCCGACAAAACATGGCTGAAGCTGGGGATGTCGTATGTGTACTGAAAGGGTCCTCGGTGCCTGTTATTTTGAGGAAGACTGAAGGTGAGGCGACTTGGAGCCTGGTTGGCACGTGTTGGGTAGCCGGGATGATGTATGGTGAGGTGAAGACCAAGCTCGATGACGCTTCCGTGAGTGTGGAGAGATTTGCACTACATTAACCAGGGATCTCAGCAGCATCAAGACGCCAGACATGAGAGGCCACGATCATAATGTAATCGCTCGCTCCTCTTTAAATACGTTTAAGACACTTTGCGAAATAGTTTTCGCGAAGAGTTGCCCCTAATCCATCTCTCATGACACCACATTGTTGATACCTACCTTCCTCAAATCATGTAAAGCCTCAATTTCATCATCACTAACTAAAAGTGCATTATTGAGATAATTTAGCTCATAAAGTTTCATTTAAACTGAAGATAATCAACATTAGTAGTTGCGGTAGTGCCTCATAGGTGAATCTCACTTCCACGAAGGCGGCTGGATGGTACTCTGTACCGTTGGTGCCTGAGTATTCCGTCCGCCCCTTGCCATTCATTCCAAGTCCGTCATCGCCTCCGTGGCTCAACCCACAGCCTGCGCCCTTGATAGTCATTCACGTTGGAGCGTCTGTCGGGGTGATGAGAGGGTGCACTTGGCCGAAAGGTTTGAGTGTATCTTCCCACACTGACGCATACGACCTTGCCATTTAAAGTCTGTTGTTCGCCCGGGGCGTCGCACTTCAGCAACATATCTTGCCATTTTGTCATTGGCATGCATGTTATTTTGCCTGTTTTACTAAGTTTTATTATGTTCCCCTTTTTACTCTTTGAATCTCGAGCATTTGGATGTTGAGGTTTTAAACCGTCAACACCCGTCGCGGTCGCCTTTTTTCTTTTTTAATAGCTATTCTCACGTTCGCCGCGTAGAAATGGACTTGGAATTCATGGTACAGACCTACCCCGCCTGAATAAACAGCTAGAAAGACCGTAAATCAATGAAAACAAAACACAAGGTAGAAAAAGTGATTCACCGATAAGGAATCGAACCAAAAACTTAAGTGTCAGGTCAGTGGCCAAGGGGACTGAGATCCACACTCGGGTCTTCCCCCATGAACCCCTCGGCCATTTCACCCGAATCACTTAAGTGACAGGAGTGAAGGAGAAAAGAACCAAGTACCCTCTAACGTCCACAGATTCCGGATCGACTTGGAACTATTCTTGCATAAAACAGGAGATTATTCGAGAGACCTGTTTATCGAAAGCGATGCCTCATGATATACCAGAGTCCCTCGCGACAGTTCGAAAGGGCGTGCGATTTAGGGCCCTGAGAATCACCCTTCTTCGAGAAGATCCTCACTCTGGTCGAGTATGAGAGCCAAGCCGCCATTCCATCTTCAGGTTATTCCTCCTTGGTTCTATGCAGGCCAGCCATATCCTGAGGTTGCCCCGGCACCCTGGATACTATCCGTACTCAGTTCCAACGCACCACTATGATGCACATTATCCCTAGCTTCTTAAATCCCCTTCGCCAATTGAATACTGCTCAGAGATTCGTGAAGCTTGAAAAAGAAAATGATCGATTTCTATGACTGCCTAGTGGATTGGATCAAATGCACTCACATCCTCCGTGCCGGACCGTCCCCCTTCTCGGCCCGGACCCGGAGCGGGGCCGACGTCAACAAAATTACCCGCTCCTGCCCGTCACGCTGCAAAAGATTCTTCAACGTTCGATTTGTGGAGAAGGTTGCACCCACCGCCGCCCGCAGTAAAGAACACCTCTTTCCCCCCCTGTTCGTTCGAATCTCCAGGCCCGCGCACCCGAAGTTCCACGCTAAGATAGACGACGATAAGACGTTGAGCACGAGCCAACGAACTCCTCCCCCCAGTCCCCAAATTTTTTAGTCGTCCCTTCCCGTCGCTTCTGCGCATCTTCTAGACGCCGATCGTCAATAGCCTCAACCTGTCGCAACGTCGAGATCGCCAACGCACTCGTGTGACCAAACCTTCGAGTCCTTGAAGTACCCCAAAACATACAGCAGCCACATCATAGAAAATTCTTTACATCTGTACAACATAACTTATACACAATGGCGCCAGCATCGCCGTCCGCCTCTACGGCAGCGCCCAAACTCCCCGCCTCGGCAGACTTCAACGCCCTCTACAACCGCATCTCCCTCGCCTCCGCAAAACAAGCAACCTTCCTCACCTCGATGCGCGCGAAATACCCCTCCCTAGCACGATCCTCCTCAACCTCCACACAAGCAACAACCTCCAACAACGCCGCTGCGCCAGGCACCTTTTCATCAATGTCGAAACCCACCTCCGCAACCGAGACCACAACCACAGCCACCTCAACAGCGAGCCGCCCCCGAGCTTCAGCCGACGACGCAGACCTCCGCTTCGAGAACCCAAACACGGGCCTCGGCTTCGCGACCTCCAAGGCGGACCAGACCACCTCCGCCGCAACGCGGGACCTGAGCCGCCGCCTCCTCGGCAACAAACGCGGAGGGGGCCGCGCCGCAGACGACCCGAAAGCCCTCGCCGCCGCCGCCTTGAAGAAGCGCAGACTACATGACGACGAGAGCGACGAGGAGGAAGGGAGAGGCAGCTGGGGCAAGAGCAAGAAGAAGAAGACCAAAGTCCGTCAGGAGGAGGGGGAGTCTGCCGAACCCGAGGCGCTCGTACATCCGGCAGCACGGGAACGGGGCGATGTCGAGATGCGCGAGGGCGGATTGGACGACACGGAAGTTCAAATACACGACAACGGCCAAGACAGCAAGGAGGATGCTTCGATCACTAGTCCGATCCAGCCGGAAATAGCGGCGATGGACCCCGCCGAGGGGGAGGAGGCCGATAAGCGACCCGAGACAGACGAAGCCACCAAGGAACGGAAAAGGAACAAGAAGAAGCGGAATAAGGAGAACAAGAAGAACAAGATGGCGGCGGCCGCGGCCGCGGGAGGAGAAGGTAGCGTCGGAGCCGCTCAACAGATATCAGTGGCATAAGGGAAATCATAGTTCCGCACATGACGAGTGCAGACTGCGGATCAGCGACACAACGCGACTCCCTTGGCCCGAGATGCCGGGACATCATCTCGCCAAGACCGCCGCCCTCATCCCTTGAGACCCTCTGGGAACTGCATGTGCGGTAGGCATCAGCGACAAGTCTCGGAAACTGTCGAATCACACAACTGCCGCGGATTGGCTGGCTGTCACAATATTGGTCATTGCATCTTTGCATTAGATCTAGCCAAGGCCTGTTGAGCATGTGCCATCAGGCCATTTACAAGCCACGCACAGCTGCTACTCCTGACCAAATACCTCAATATTCAGATGTGAACATGTTATTTTTTTTTTTTTTTTGAATGATTCTCCATTCCTCTCGCATCCCAAATGCAGATGTCGCAAATTACACCCCGATATGGACAGTTTTGGACAAATCTTGACAAACCTTGCCGCCTGACGTCCCTTGGGTATCCCGTCTCCTGAGCTCCGACCGCAAACACACAGCCTCCATCCGAGAGTGAATAATGTGAAAAGAGATGTGGGATTCGCACTTGTTCTGTTCGATGAGACGCCATTGTGACGCTGAATTACTAGGGTTGCTAGTTTATAGTATGTTGTTGCTTCACGCAGGTCGGCCGTGATGCAGTAAAAAACACATGGTTGATATCAATGTTGAACTTTTTGACGATTGAGAAATCCGGTTGGAAGTCGAGATTGACCGTCGGTGAATCGTATTATGTAGTGGCCGTTGGCTTCGTGTGTGTATCGGGTCTTGAGCCTGGAAATTTTGGTTGTAGATATGCATCTGTGCAGATCGTGTACTGATCTGAGTATGATCCCCCTTTCTTCTATACAAGGAAAGAAATATTTCCAGGAAATCATCGGATAGATGTGTCTATCTGATATAGAAATGTACGGGCACGCGTCCGAGGAGTGTGCCATGCATAAGGATCCACCGGACGACCCTGAAGGAGGCAATTGCTGTGCTCACTGCATACGCTTACGCTTCCGATCATCGTCGCCTCGGGGATCCTCATCCTCGTCGTCTCGTTCAGCTGTGTCAGTCGGGTTGAGGATATGCGCCATACTTCCGCGACGCGTGGGTGGTCCTGAATGATCCCTGATAGCTAGATTCTTGTTGTCCCGGTTGGCCGAGTTCCACGACCAGTTGCCAAAGGTATCCCCACCACCACCACCATTCGAGAAGGGTGCGCCAGGAGGTGTGGTCGGTCGCGATAGAGGCCGTACTTGGGTCGCGTTTTGCAGTGAGTAGGTGGACAGCGACTCCCTCAGGCGCTGGTCCTCCGGCGCGAGTCGACTTGGCGAAGATGGCCAAGGTCCGGAAGGCGGTCCTGATGGAGGCCCTGAAGCAAACGGCGGCGGGGCACTGGGCTGCCACCCGTGTGCCCGTATATCAGCCGATGTGTGACGTCTTGCTAGACTTCCAGGAGGCGGCTCAACCTGGGCCAAGGGATGCGGCCCCGGAGGAGGCGGAGGTGGCGCCCCCCGCAAGGGAGATGAGGCCTGTGGCACTGAACTGCCGCCAACCGAACCACCGCCAATCGAGCCATAGGGTCTTCGCGTGCTGATCGAGAGATTCGAAGGCACAGGAGGTCGGTAGAAGTTCTGCCCTCTGGGCTGGGGAACAGCAAGATTCGCATTTCGTCTCGGGTCATCTTGGGGTAGCTGCCGCGGCGAAACCGGTGCATTCTCCACGTTGGTGAAGTATGCTCGGCTGCTTGAGAATGGCGATTCCTGGGGATCATCAATAGTTCGGAGCATCTCGGCCTGTCTTGCCATTTCCGATTGCAAATTGAGAACTGGTTCGTGTAGTGTTAGCTACCAGCTACCTGGACCGCCAAAGATGCAACTCACCATCCCGGTGCACTGGGTTGTCGGGACTAGGGACGAGACTGAGCACCGTCCTAGACAACTCTTGGTTGAATTGGAGGAGCCGTGACATTGTCTCCATCACTGCTTGCTGCTTAATATGCATGTAATGGGCATTCTCTTCACTTCTCTGGAGTCGCATGCTAAGGTCGTACAGCGTATGCTCGAGCCCAGGCATGCGCATCTCGGAGCCGTCGCTTGGGGGAGGCATCGGTTCCGCAGGCGTTCCGGGTTGCGAAGGGCTGGGCTTTGAGTTGGGATACTCCCGGTGAACAAGAGCATGACGTGAAGCTCGCCGTTTGATTTCACGGAGTCCAACCAGGTCGCCTCGCTTGAAATTGCCGTTTCCATGTTTGAATTCCCACAAAGCGGTCTCGGGATTTGTCGTGTGGAAAACGTCGCTCACTGTTGCCTCAATTAGCATTGGACATTTCGTGGTCAAAGGAGATGTTATCGAACCTTTATGAAACCCGTACATGTTCAATTGCCTGACAAAAGAGGATATGTTGGTGTGTTTGAAATATTGTCTGGTCGATAGTGAGTAGGTGAAGGACATGTTCGAAAGCGTGTTCACCTACGCTAGAACCTTGGAAAAGTCCGCGGACGGTGACATAACGAAGCTTTCAGCACTCGCTGACCATGATATCAGATGCTGTATGCTTGGGTCCTCCAGCATGCTGAATGGTGTTAGCTATAATGCTACTGAACAATGTTCTAGACTCCTGCTCACCTGTACAGCTTATGTATGAAAGCTGTCTGCACAATCTTTGGCTGGTGCACAGCCGCGGCCGCAGCTGCGGGCGCGGCGGGCATGGCGATCGAGTTGTTCGCAGATTGGTCTGTAGGCGACGTGTGCTTGGATGCGCCGTTGGCATCCGTATCGTTGTGCTTGCTCGAAGGAGAGGTCGTGCTGGCGTTGTTGGAGGAGGTGATCTCCATAGGCTCACCGGGAGATGGAGCAGACATTTGGATGGTCGGGGTCGGGGTTGGGATAGGTACAATGCGATTCGGAATCAGATCGGCATGACCGTTAGCAGGCAGAGGAGCTCTCTGCGGACTCTCAGTCACTGTGGCCATCCCCTCTGTAAGACGCAAGAATCCGGTTAGCTCTAGAGACAAGGGCGCAATAAATTGCGAGGTGAACGCGGTTTGGGGAATGGCAGGGAAGACAGGAGAAAGAGTTGGAGCGGTATCGAGGGCGGTCGCGGTGGGTTTGAGGAAATGGTTGAGGGGCTTGTCTCACCTCATGGCTTCGCAGAACGGTATAGGCGATGCGGGCGGGTTCTGCAGCGATGCGCGCAGAGGACGACAATAGGATAGGTCTATCGCAGGAGGTATGGGGTTTGGGTGGCTATCTGGGATCGGTTCTAGTGTCGAGTGATGCCTTTGTGCTCTTTGGCAGCTTCGCGAGAAGGCTTCCTTTAGCTAGAGTTGGCGGGAAACGACAGCAATGTCGGTTGAAGCAGGCGAGCGCGAGTGGGTGAGCGGTTTGGGGGTTGAAGTGTTCAGCCGTGGTTCGGATCTGCGAGCAGCAGGTCTCTGTTCCAGCTGCCGACAGGCTTCCAACGTCGGGGGATTGCTAGGTAGAGGGATGGATCTGCTGGAATGCGTCCAGATTGGCAGAGTTGAAGAAAAAGGTTCGGGGGTGTTCTCCTCGTCCAGATGGGTGGCGGGACTCTCAGCGAAATAGCTAGGGATGCGGGATGCAAGAGAATAGAAGTGGAAGTGTCGAAGTTCTAGAGTTCGAAGAGAAGGAGAAGGGTTGCCGAAGGCCAGGGCCGCCGGAAATATGACGACGAATGAGGGACAAGGACGAGGGACTGGGGGTGGGTGGTGGTGCTGATGGGTGGTGCTTGTGCTGCTGCTGGCGAAGGTTTAAAGTGGCTCGACTAGATCGATAGTCGGTTGGATCTGCGAGAAGACAGGAAGAAAGAAGGCCTGATTAAGGAGAGCAAGTGCCACAAGAATTGCGGGATGGTGTAAGGTAGCGTGTACTCTAGACTGTGATTCAGCAGTCAGCTTCTGAGTGGCCCCGTTCTAATTGCGGCGTCGATATGTCAGTCAGTTGGTAAACCCAGTGGTTTGAGGTACCTTTTGTCGTGTTTGGGTCAAGGAGCAAGAGAGGGAGCAAGGACGGTAGATAGCCGAAGAAGCATGCGTGGGAGAAGGAGGAGTGCGAGCGTCGAGTCTCGATTGCTGAGCCCAAGCACGGTAATAGTATCCGTAATGAGAGAGAGAGCAAGAAAAAAAAAGGAGAAGGCGAAAGTAATAGAAATCGAAAAAAAAAAAAAAAGGGATCTTAGGTATCCAATGTCAAATGGCCGAAAGTGGGAGAGAGAAGGAGGGAGGTGTGGCGCCCGTCCCACCAGCAGCACCAAGTGAGGATGTTCAGAATGTTCAGGTCGGGGAAAGTGTCGTTATTGATGGAAGCTTGCTGATTGGGCTGAAGGAGGGGGTGGGAGGGCATCCGCGGGCGTGTGAGATGGACGGCCATGCATGGGGCGGGCCCAGGTCGCTTTACCTTGCAGCAGCAGCAGCAGCAGCAGCAGCGAATTTTAGGGGTACGAAGTAGGTACGGAGCACCAAGGAGAGGACGGGAGAGCTCTCCTGCTCTGAATTCTTCTTTCCCACCTTCACCTCGGGCAATCGCACATTCCGGTACGTACAGTACCTCATGTACCTACCTTAGGTACCTCACTCAGACAAGAGATATCTCACTCCAGGTCTCTCACTCACGCACAACCACATGGGACGTATTTGTACATAGATATACACGCGCGCTATCTTTGCCTGTCTCTCTCTCTCTCTCTCTCTCTCTCTCTTATATCTCACTCACACACGCATACACACGCTGCTGCACACAACAGGGCAGGTGGCACGGCACGACAGAAGATGTGGAATGGAAGATACCGTGGAAGCTCAGGAGAGAAGGGGGAAGGGGGTGTCCGGTCCCCGCCAGCTGAAAATGGGAATGGACAGGTGGAAAAGCAGGAAAAGGTCACATTCAATCCAATGGGTGGGTGGATCTGGCTGGAGGGGGGGTCGACGGTCGTCTTCTCCTCGCTGGGATCTCAAAGCGCACGCCCTCCCATAGGTAGGGAATTAGATGTGGGTGCAGATGCTGGGGTCCCTGGTGGCATTCTCCGGAACAGGGTCAGAGGAACAAGGTTAAGGCCGATGGATGAGCTGCCAGCCAGTCTCAAAGTCTCAAAGGCTTCTTCTCCTGCATGTATCACCCCGTGCCTCTCAGTATGGGCGAATACACCTGTATTGTATTCATGCTCTGGGCAGTCAACGCACCTTGAGATGGATAGCGCCCGCCGGGATCCCGTACCGCTCAGGGTCAGATTTTGGCTCGTCTGTCTACGTAAGGTAAGGTAGTGATGTACCTAGAGAGGTGTCTCTGCAGCTACAGTACCTACCTACCTACGCCATGAATTTGAATCGAAGAGGCGTTGAAGCCCCGTCAAGATGAGATGAAATGCAAGTCCTGATGTCTGAACCCCTGACGAGACTCTTTCCAAAATCGGCCAAGTTTGCTTCTTCCTTGCCAGGTCTTTGCTATCATGCAATTCAAATTCACGAAACGTCAAACATGATGATGAAGTACACTGGCAGGCAGGGAGGGAATCGCCATTTCACCATCCTCCAGACAATAGCCCAGACGTTCGATTGGCGAAGCTCTTGACGCTCTTAGTCACAGTCATCTGCTGATGCCCACCAGTCTAGAGGAGCACAAAGAGCTTCAGCCGCACGATGCCTTGAACATCAAAGAGGTACATGACACCAGGTAGGCCATGTCTCTTACCACTGATGAGAATGAGAGTCCGCAACAGTGTCGTACAAACTTCGACGCCAGCCAGAGACATGGTGGAGAGATAGGGCAACGAGTGACGTCGGATGAAGTACCCTGCGTCCAGTCTAGTCCGCGCCTATCTGTCCTTGGCTGCCGTTTCCTGCCCTGCTAGGTGTCCCATCGAGTACCTTTGCATACAAATACGGAGCACCACAAGGCTTCTCATATTCAACTCCATATCTCCGGGGTCTGGGCAACACCCTCTGCATTGACAGCCGCATGACTGCAGGTCAACCACTACATGAGGTTGCAGTTGCTTTGGACAAGAAGTTCGATTGACGGTTTGAGCCATGATGAGCAAGCTAAAGGTACACTACCTTGGGCGTACAAAAGACACGGCCCGGTCTCTGGAGCGCCCGCCCGTAAGGAACCCTAAGACCGCCGGATGTTGGACCGTCGACTCGACTGTGTTTTAGCAACACATCTTTCACTCAGCCGCTGGTCGGAGCCGGCGTCATGGCATCAAGTGGATGGTCCTGGCGTATCTGGTTGCCTACCTAGCTGCGCGTCTGCTTCTCCCGTGCTTTGAAGCTCTAAGACTCAACTCTTGACTTACAGTTGCCAAGACACCAGCCTGTGTCGGAAACATTGCACCAAGAGGCGCCCACCAGGCAATGTATTTCGTTATACTAGTTCTCTCTGATTTGTAAGTTTTGGTTTTTTGGCCAGCCAAGTGAGTAGAACCGTACCTTTGGCAGCTAGCATTGGATGTAAGGAAGGGAAAAGCATCTGCATCTCCCGTACCAGTCAAGGCAGAGTCTACTTGTAGGCAGGTAGGTACTTCAGTACCCTGGGTACCTCAGTCAAGTAAGGTGCTCAAGCTAGCAAGCAGAAGAAGGTGAGGCAAGGTAGATGGAGATGCGTACCTGCCAACTTGATACCTTGGGGTAAGATGATATTGGAAGGGTCAGCACAAGACACCTTCTGACTTGCCTTGCTTTTCCTTGCCTCGTGTTCTTTTCCCTCCGTTGAACAAACACTCAGACACCACGGGGCTCGACTCTTCGTTGCATGTGGCCTCGATTCCTATTTGCGCAATCCATCTCTGGTCCTTTTTCTTTCCAGCTTCGTTTCTTCGCCGTTCTTTCTAATTCGACTGAATGCCATTTACAAGGCCTGGAGCTGAAGCTTGAGTGACCGTCCCTTTCACTCCTCCACATCTTGAATAAACGCATCTCAATTTCATCCACCACCACCCTCCCTCTACCTAGTCGTCTTGTGGACCGAGCTCTTTTAATTTCAACCGGCTCCTCCAGCATCAGCCCGGACGTAGGCACAACCGATTCAACGTTTCTGTCAATTTCCTAGCATGTCGCCTTCGGATACACCATGATATGCACATCATGTATCCGTTCACCTTATCCCGTACCCCCTGAGACTGTCCTCTCCACCCTAAAGTCCGTTTTTGCTTTCTTTTCCCGTCATTCGATCCCCAACTCCTCGTTTCTCTGACACGCTGTCTCAGTCATGCAGCTCAAGATCTCTTCCCCAATCGCCCGGTCCAGGAAGCTACAAGATTGCCATCTGCGACAATCATAGTCTTTCAGCCAACCCCGTCTCCTAGATGCCTAGATGCGGCCGTGACCAGGAGGGGGTGTGGGTGGGGTAGACACTATCCCAGCAAACCAAACCCATCTCCTGCTGAGAACGAGATGCGATACCCAAACCTGCGAGGCAGACCCCCCTCGATAGCTTCTGGCCGGCTGCAGCTGGAGGGTCAGTATCAAGTTTCGATCGACCCAAACGAGAGGCATCATTTTCTTCCCGGTCCTTACCATAACTACCACCATTTAACCATCATCACCACCACCACTGCACAGAAGCAAACACTAAGGGCACGCCAGGACCCGACAAGCCGTGCGGGCTGGATCATGCTGCTACCGAGATGCTCTGTGCTTTCTTTCTGCTTCAACAGCTCCAGCTTAGCCTATCCGTTGCCCAACTAAAGCATCCGGTTCGTTGACTACTTGTCACGTCTGTGTCCGTTCGACGACAGGGAGACGACAAGCGAAACTGGCGGGACTCTTACCGAGCCAAAGGTCCCCAAGCTCCTCGTCCCAGGGCCTAGTCCCCTTGGGCACGAGCAGATGCTTTTACAACTGACAAGCCAGTCGGGAGCTGCATTGCTTTCCCAGGAGTAGTGTTAAATCTCGATCAACCGTGGGCTTTGCCGACTATCCTGGAAGCCGACTGGCCAAGAAACTGTGCCTGGCTGTCTTCGCTTCGGGCCTGTGCTCTGTGGTACTGCGAACGGTCCAGTATGTGGCATGTGGAGAGCTTGTCCTCATCAAATTGAGCACGCAAGTGCTTCAGAGCGGCTTTTGCGCAAGCCCTTTTGCTTCCTGTGTCTTACCGTGGCGTGATGATGGCCTCTGCCACTCACCCAATGAAGCTTGCTTTCCCGCCGCTCAAAGCAGACCGTCATCTTAACCAAAGGTTCGAGCTAGCGGTGGTGCGGTGCTTGTGGCAGCTAACGCAGGACCACAGGCAGCCCAGGAATTGCGGAAGACTCGAACCGGCCAGACGGTGCACTTCTGTTTCAACGGCGTCGCTTCTTCGCGATAATATCCACCATCCGCGCGAGACGGCTAGGGCAGACACGATCCAGCCATTCGTCTCCAAACGACCGCCCTAGCAGAATGGCCGTGAGCTCAGTGCCTAGAGGCCTAGTTGACAATCGGGCCCGTCGATGCAGTACACGCGCAATGATCACTCCGCGTCAAAGAGGAACGCACAGAGACCCATAGGTCAAAATACGATCTAGACAAGCATCGCATTGCTCTTGGCCAGAGGCTCTTGAGATGCTGATTACCTGCCGCAACAGCCTTCATCACCAACGAAAAAACTCAACAGGTTGGGTCCATGTCGTCCATGGTGAATCGGAGGAGGCTATTGGAAGCGCAAATTCAAGATTGGATAATCAAGATTCAGCAGGCATGTGCCGACCACTAACAAGCAACCAGGGAGTTTCTTGTCTCCCATATGTAGTGCCTGCGGCCACGGGATGCTAGGGAAATTTGATCTGCAACTACTCAACATCAAATAGCCCATCGTTCGTTGACGCCTCAACTTCAATCCCGAACTGGCCAGTGCCAGTCCGAGGAAGTCGGCGTCTTTACGCCAAATTCTCCGCAGATTGTCCGATTTACTTCTCGCTGTTCACGCCTTTCGTCGCCTCTGGATCATTATAGCAAACGTTTTCTCGATAGATGGAAATGGGAGCTAGAGACCATGGACCGGGCCGACAAGGGCCAAGCCAGACAGCCATACTCGACCGAGGGATAAAGCGTCGAGCAAAAGCCCTGAATTCCCCCTTCCAACCCCTGCCCTGGTCCAGATCCAGACGACGACGTGTGGTTGTCACGTTTATTACCACGGAGAAGACTCGTCTAAGAAGCTCCTGCGAACAATGCGAAGCTATCATCTAGTCGTTGCATTCACTAGGGTGCTTCCGAACGTCGAAGAGAAATGTAATGCAACCCCCTCCCCCAGTAGCCCAGTCAGCATCGAGCACTGGAAGCAGTTTCTTCATGGCACGCATTTCGATCACTGGATACAATTGGGTCGCCTTTTCCAGCGAAACCAGACACAGTTACCGTCACATGCTCAAGATTGTCTTCGACCGTGCCTGGGACTATTTCCTCCGGCTCTCGCCTCGAAGCTTGCTATACTCTTCCGTTTTGAAAATAAGATGTCACGGCCATTCAGCTCTGTCTTGGCGCATCCTTTGAGCCTCGGGTGCCCTTAGCTGAACAAGGTTTAGGGGGTGATTTCCAGCGCAGAAACGTTGACCTCGTTACAAGTCGACACCCGCATCTGCAAACTCTTCCTACCTTAATCGCAAATGCGCCTGTGGATGGTGCCCTCCAGCGAGCGTCATATTCAGGTCATTCCGACGACGGACTGCTACTGCCACACAACCGGTAAGTCTCCAATCCTTCCTGGGGGCTCTTTGCATCCACCTGAACCAGCTTTTTGACTTCTTTCCAAACGAACGAGTTTGTGGATGGCGGCCTGAGCGAACGAACTGCAGTCCCAACGTTTCAGCAGAACCGCTATCCGTCCAGCCTTGTGTGATTACCGGACACTTTGCTGGACCACGCACTCATCATGTCAGAATGGAGGCTGCTACAGGCAACTGTTAGATCGAACACCTCAACGTTGTCGATCCGACAGTGTTCTCGCCCAGCACTGGCTCTCCTACTCCGTACACCACCACCTGTGACCTAGGGCCCCGGCCATCTCCATGGTCCGCTCTTGATGTAACGCGACCCGGGTCCGGCGAACTCTCTCTGCAGTAAGCGTTCTTTTGTCTGAAGAACGTTGAAGATGTAACGTCGACGCTCGTCTCACGGCGAATCGCCAAGCTTCTAGAAGTTCGACTCATACAATTGGCTTCCGGGAGCCCTTTGAGAATTGTCCAACCCAGAGCTCTGGTGTGCCTTTCGTCTCATCTTCACGTTACTGAGATTCTTCTTTAACAAGCAAATCGCTGTGCACCTTTGCGTATCGCATTGAACCCCAGAGCGGACTAGTTCCAAGAGCCTGCTCTACACAGCATGGTGACTGGTTCCGTGGAACGACACATCCGAAGCCAAAGAAGAACCCCACGACCGAGATCTACCCCGTTCGACTCGAACTCTAATTTCTGCATTACCCTGTCGTATTCCGGGTATGGTTGTTAATCCTTCCGCCCCCTTGCCTAGTTCGCACCGGACAGATCCCGCGGGTAGCCTACGTCTAACTGCGGTATGGCCGTTCTGCAAATAGGACAGGGTAACATGTCGCAATCACGACAACATGCATGCAAGCAAACGACGATGTCCCACAACGCGTCAATGGATGCGTAGCATGATTTGCTTTCATCGTCTTCGTGGCCAAACATGACACCTAAGCCTCTAGAAACAACAGGCAATGGGACGGATACACCATCGACCTCCAGGCTCTGGTCACCGTGTACCGGATTCGGGCCGCACCTTGCCGCCCATTCCGCTTTTCCTCCTCCACCGTCCCCGCGCACACGGGAACGAAGAGTGCTGCTGGGAACTCGGCACAGTCTTCCGAGAACGACCATGGCGTCTCGGTTGGACTGCCGAGAGAGAAACATGACACGAAGACGGCATATCTTGGGACAACACATCTTTCAATCTTGAACTCAATCGAGAAGAAGTTGAAGTTGTGGTGGTGCGAATACTTCGACCAGGGTCCCGCAAGAAACCCTTGCTTCCAGCACGAGGATGGAAGTCCAAAACCCAACCAAGAGACACGTGGACGCCTTCTTGTTGTTTGTTCCGGTCGGTGCGTGTTGTAGTCGAGTCTTCGCTTTGGTCCATTTTCGTCTTCGGATTTGCTGCTTTACTTTACACGGAGGAGTCTCGGATCCGGGGGGTTGAGTGTTTGGGCTCATGCACCCATCACGTCCGACATTATGCCGTTCGAGGCCGGGGACCCAGGGGCTCCTTCTAAGTTCTGGATGGGCACTCTCTGGAAGAACCTAATGTCCAACGAAGGGAGGGCGAAGAATTCGACCCAAAGTCAAATATCGACACTACGTTCTAACCCTACACAGTAAAAAAAAACATCAGCTCGGAAAGTCCGCGAGGACCGGTGCCATGGGTGCCGCCCTCGTGCCTGTGCTCCGGAGAGTTCCACGTATGGGAGATGAACCGCGACACATCCTCATCAAAAACACACACACGAAAACGACGATACGGACAGGAGTCCGCTATTTCCCAGTGATATCTTGCTCCCTTTGCGGAGAACACGACGTGCTTATTCCTCGTATTATTCATACCCTTCTGTCCCGACTCCGTATTTTAGACATTTTACAAGGAACACGACATGGACGACGATGACTGCCGAAAAGCAAAAAAAGAACCTCTATCCGTACGGATATCGCCTTTGTATTAGCTAGTCATTCATTTCGCGTCTTTCGCAGGGTGAAAGACAAACGCAGACCATCAAGTAGTCACTATCGTATCATCATCCAAACGCCTTTCCTTATACTGACGGGAAGGACCCATCCAAACAACCATGAAACCCAATTCCCGACATGGGGAGTGACGGGGGTTAGCCCCCTTCCCGAGTATGTGCCCTTCCCGAGCGGCCATCCAAGCCATGGATGACCAAAAAAACGAAAAAAGTCTAAAAGTCGCCATCGTCAACATCCATCCCGCTGACTCTCCGCTCTCCGATCTCGCGGATCTTGTCGCCCAGGATTGACCGTCCGTACCGCTCCGCAACCTTACCCGCCGCCTCAACCATACGGCCCGTCCGATCGCGCATCAGACCCACCAGCTCCAGCGCCCGCATGCCGCGCTCCTCGCCCTCGCGACACTCGATGGCCAGCATCTGTAGCAGCGTCTTGTCGAGCTCGAGCTCCAGCCGCGCTAGACCCGTCTTCTGAGAGTGCGTGGCATCGGTGTGGTCAATGAGGTCGCGCAGCTGGGCAGAGTGGATGCCGGAAATCAGCAGCTTTTGTTCCAGTTTGCGCGATTCGCGGCGGCCCTCGTCCTCCTCCTCGTCTCCGTTCTCTCCCTCTGCACCCTCCGAGTCCGCAGCCGGGGCCGGAGCGGAGGTGAGGGGCACGGAGAAGTCAAACTCGGACAGTAGCGGTCGCGGGAAGTAGGGGTACTGGTCCCCGCCCTTGAGGATGATACAGTGAAACTTCTTGTCAGCTACTGCAATGGGCCAGTAGGTTTCCGTCTTCCTTCCCGACGCTAAACGCGGGAGAAGCTTTGTGTCAAGGAGGGGCACCCAGCAGGCGCGCGAGGGCTTCCGCCAGTGAAGCAGGGTGAGCAGAGTGCCTGTCGAGTCATAAATGCAAGGATCCTGAGTCGGTGTACCCTGCCTGTCAGCGAAACTGCATCCTTATGTCCGAAAAGAAGAAGAGAGAGGGGTGTGTAAACTTACGCCGACATCTGAGAAGAAGACGCTCTGCAACGTCGCGCCATCGGGTAGTGCGACGGTGTCTTCGTTTTGGCAGATTTCGTCCCGCTTGATATTCTCGATCGTGTACAGGAGGCGGGCGTTGCCGTCTGCGCCGACGGGGCCGTTGCCCATTGTGATGACATAGTCACGCCAGCTGGCGCAAGTGACCATGGGTGTGCTCTTGGGTCGATAGACCCGGTACGGCACTCCAAAGAGAGTGAAGATGCGCACGTAATTGGCGGTTGTGGTGACTGTGATGAAGGATTCGCTCAGCGACATGGCAACTACGGCCTCACTCTTGGGCAACTCAGTCCGCCAGTCTGTCCGCTGCGTCCACGTCTCGTGTGGGCGGTAGAAGATGGTGGCGGGCGTGTTGTCTTGCGGTGGGCACGAGAACAGAGCGCCGTGCTCTGTCAGGCAGGCCTTGTCATAGAGGAATGTGTCTGTGAAGTGGAAGTCGCGGTGGAACTCGTGATCGTAAAACTCTACCGTCACGGTGTTGTGGCCGTCCTGGTCGACCGTCCAGATGACGCCAATCATGTTCAGACAGAGGTACTTGCGATTTCCGCGCCAGGGGGTTGAGCCTGGTTGAAAAGCCTCATGGAAGTTGAGCGCGAGCTGGCGGCGCTTGCTTGCGCGGTCGCCGTCGTCACCGCCGGCATCGAGAGGCCTCTTTTGCCCCGTCGAGTAGCCCGCACCGTCATCGTCAACAACAAAGCCGTCTCCATCATCGTAGCCGTCCTCGCCGTTGAGGAAGGAGTCGAGACTGCCCAGGGAATCGCGCCGAGGCCGGCTGGGGATGGCAGCCTTGCCGTTGGCATCTGGTCTCCTGGCGTTGTTGGAGATCTCTGAAAGGGGATCGTGGATAAACGGTGCGGGCTGGCGGGGCAGCTGCAGGAAGCTAGAGAATTGCTCCGTGATGAGGTTGGGGTAGATGTAGACCTCGCCGTCGGACGTTGTGAACGACAGCAGATTGTCCTTGGGATGCCATGTGATATCAATGACGTTGCTATAGTCAAACTTTTGAATCACGCTCTGTGTCTTTGTCTCCCAGATCAAGAGCTTCCCGTCCTTGCCTGCCGTCGCCAGCATCGCGCCGTTGGGCGACCACGCAACCGCTGTGACATCGCCCAAATGCCCATTGGCAAATGTCCGCTGCTTTTCCCAATCGTTCTTGGACACGACCTGAACATCGTGCATGGGAGTAGGCACCGCAAATGCCCGTCCGTCGGGATGCCACACAATTTTGGCCGAGTTCTCGGATTCGGGGTCGACAGGTCCAATGATGCCGTCCACCTTGCGGATCAGCTCCGGCGTCTCTGCCGTCATGGAGTAAACGTAGATGACTCCATCTGTGCACGCCAGCGCCAAGAGCCCGCCTTTGGGGTCAAATGCTAGGTGCTTTGTCGGGCGCCCGTGGTCCTTGAGAACGCGGATGCGAGAGTTATCCTGGGTATCGACGACCTTGACCGTGAGCTCGTCGCTGGCGACGGCACACCACTTTGCGTCGGGGGAGAGAGCGACGTCTCGGACTGGTAGAGAGGTGCGCGTGAGGAAGCGCTCGAAAGTAGTGTCCTCGACCGAGTAGACGCTGACGGTGCCGTCCTCTGAGCCGACCACGAAGAAGGCGTCAGATGCGGCGACGGCGCAGTTCTGCTCGGGGCAGTCGTCTATGTTGAAGGGCTCGCCATCGTGATGAGTGCGGTAGAGGCGGATCGTGTTGTTGGAGCCGACGGTGACGAGGCGGGCGCCTGAGGGCGTGTAGGCGAGACGGGTTGTTCCTGTTGTGTGCGCCGGCCTCGGCCGCGGTTTCGGGGCGAGGGAGGAGGCCATTTCGGGGTTGGTGTGTGGGATGTGGTTTAGATCTTGTTCATGGGTATTTTGGAACTCTTGCTGTCTCGGAGATATTGGTGATTATGAGCGATAAGTGTAGCTGACCGTTTGAAGAGTCGTGGTATCGTCGATTGAGGCCTTGTGGTTGGAGATGAGTGTTTGAGAGAATCGATGTGGTGATGGTGGGACAGAGGCACTCTGGGAGGGACGCGTTTAGACGCGTCGCGAATTCAATTAAAGCAACTTTTTGACAGGCGCGGGACAGGGGTTGATGATAGAACCCCGCCAGGTACGTACTTCTTCAGTTGGATCCACTTCCTTGACCACTTGGTGACAGGTGGGGGAGCTGTCACTGCTTTCACAGAAATGCATCGCAGGCATCAGAATTGATGAGAAATACAGCTTGTGAGTGAAAGTGGGCGATCTGAAGAGTTACCTAAATTAGGCATCAAAATTCCCGAAACTCGGCTTTTGCCTTTAAACCGACTAGGTAGTCTCTTCAACCAAGATTGAGCTACGTTGTACGCATTTTGTCCTGCACTTATTGAGAGGAACGGTTCAAGGACTTGGGCGATCGTGAGAAATACCCCTCAAGATGGAGTCAACCAACCAAGAGAACTTCTTCGAGACGGAGTACGTATACGTTGAATGTGGCTATCAAGAACATGACTGACAAGCATGTAGCACGCAGCAAGAAAAGCGCCAGCAGCGTGCCAAGAAGGAGGGAAACACGTTTGGCAACCCGCTGCGCATGCCCTCCAAGCTTTTGGCCGTCATCAAGGATACCAAGTCCAATAACTCCGTCTTCGTCGCAGAGTCCGGTGGAAGGGTATCTAAGGTGAACATCGAGGTGAGCTTCTCTCATATACCAGTGGCATGGCTCTTGTGATTCTCGCCCCTGGCCTCTTTGAATCCATCCCATCAGAGTGCTGTAGTCAGATAGTGCCTATCTCAGAATCAGGGGCTCACCACATCGCAGACACGAACCACCACAGCAAAGTATACCGGCCCCTCCGTCCCAGTAACATGCCTCGCAACAGGCGGCCCCTCCAACAACACCCTCTTCGCAGGCAGCTGGGACAAGGCAATCTGGTCCTGGGATGCCACAACGCGCCGACCGGGCCGTAAGTACGAGGGCCACTCTGATTTCGTCAAGGCTCTAGTCTGCGGCCGCCTCGGCGACAAGACCATCCTCGTCAGCGGCGGCGCAGACAAGAAGATTATCGTCTGGGACGCCGACGCGGGGCGCAAGCTGCACGTCCTCCAGGACCCGACCACGACTATGATGTCCCTGCAGTCCCTCGCCATCGACCCGGTCCTCAGCACCGCCGACGAGATCGTCCTCGTTAGCGCGAGCAGCGATCCGCATATTCGCCGGTGGAAGATCAGCCTCGACTCGTACGCGCAGCTCCCCTTTGACCAGCCCCCTGCCGCTGGAGGAGAGAAGGCCGCCGCCGCAGGCGAAGAGAAGCTTACGATCCAAGAACACGAGACGAGCGTGTACAAGGTCCTCTTCGACATCACCGGCGACGAAGTCGACCTCTGGACCGCGAGCGCCGACGGCACCGCCAAATGTCTCCTCCGCGAAAAGGCCTTTTCTGCAGAAGACGCCTTTGAGCACGGCGACTTTGTCCGCGCCGTAGCGCTCACGCCGGATTGGGTCGTCACGGCGGGAATCAACCAGCACATCAAGGTCTGGGACCGGACGTCGGGCCAGCTATACGCCCTCCTCGACGCGCACTTTGACGAGATCACCGACCTTGTTGTCCTGCGGAGCTCGACGGCGGCGGATGTGCTGTGCAGTGTCGGTATCGACTGCACGTTGCGGACGTGGCCTCTTGACCGCAAGGGGTTGGATGCGGCGGTCGAGGAGATTCGGGCTGCGTCTGAGGTTGTTGATGGGCAAGAGGGTGAGGGGGAGAAGAAGAAGGACGATGATAAGGAGCCTTTGATGACAGCTGAGGAGGAAGCGGAGTTGGCTGCGCTGATGGAGGATGATTAGGCAGTACAGTCTAGTCAATGAGATGGAATGGCATCACGATCTGGTTCGCATTCCGTTGCCATCAGATCTTCATGTCGCTGTTTGCTGCTTGGCGAGCTTGTCAACGTGATGCAATCATGAGCTCCACGTCACGAGCTCAGTAAGGGGAGCGGAGATCAGGACATGCGAATAACTAAAAACCGTCTGCGCATCGAGTGGTCCAAACCCGATATATTTGAGACTTGCTCCTTCCTACATCAGGGCACCACTCAATGGGTTTAAGGAATGGCTTTCGGTCAACTCAATCCAAAGATTTTATCCTTACCTCTAATACGGCTAGATGGGGGCAGCAGGATAATTTAGTTTGACGTTCACTGATGGTCTCTGATGTTGGGCAATATCGCTGATTCGTTTACTTGGCCCATCAGTTTCTTCCAGTCAAAGATACGGTACTTCCGAAGAGAGAGTAATGTCGCGTGCGTTTGCTCGCCATTAACACCCAATCCAACTCGCCTGAATGCCATCAGTATCTCGGCCTGCCCGAGGCAATGGCTATTGTTAGAGAGTCTCTTGTCAGAAGTGGCACATTGGCGGCATCACATCTACCAAGCTATACAGGCAAAAAGCAACAGTTCAGATGACGTGGCAAACTGACAGAATCTTACATGGGTCTCTGGGTTTCACTTGAGAGTGCCAAGGGTATGTAACCAACGTCCTTCTCGAAGTTATGTTGATGTTCCCTCCGACGGGAGATGCGGTATATGTCGACATCTGCAGCATTCCATGCAGCCGGTCGATCCGTGGCGTACCTTGTCCGCTTGGATGTCGCCGATTTCATCAAGGAAATTCTGGCTGGAATGATTCGTTCGAATGGGCTCCACGTGTTGCTCTCTGGGAGCTGCCGCGATATGTGATGGTCAACACCGTGGTCTAGCACACCTGTCTACAGAGTATTTCATACCAACGATCTTTCAAACGCCGTCCTCAATTCCGCACCTGTTTTCATCCGTGTTCCTAATATGCGAGAGCTGCCTCCGTGCTCGGCACTTATCTAGCGGCCCGGTCACCCGGATCAGTCTTCCGAACCAGGCCCGCCATACTAGGTCATCCACGATGATGGCCGATCCCTAAAGACTCACGCCAGCAAGTGCCACCTGAAAGCCCGTGGCTGGTGGAGAGACTGGCATCGTATTCAAGCACATCGGCTCAAATAGCTAAGAGAAATTAGTGGCTTCAATAGCTTGCCAGCCCGTGCGAGCGTGCGAGGTTCCCGAACCACGGCGACCGCCTGGCTGCCACCCTGGCCTATCGCAATATAAAAAGTGGCGATGGGCCAGAACCACGATGCAGCCAAGCCAAAGCTGAGTTGTTCATCCAAGGGAATCCTGGATGGAATTGGTGAGCTATAAGCCTTTCTTCAAGCCGGCCGCAATCAATGTACGGATCAGGGGTACGACTGCCGGCGGAATGGCTTGTGCGACCAGAAGAGCCGCGGGAGCCTCGAACTTTGAATCTTTTGACAGCATGTAAAGACGTCTTGAGGCCGACCAACAGACGACCATGTAAAGGTCTCGGTATTGCCAACAGACGAAACACAGACCTCGGAAGGAGATTTCCTTTTCGTTTTCCACATTTCCCATCAAACCGCACGGGCAGATCAGGGATCTAGGCTTCCCCAAGTGCGGCTATAGATGAGACACTTTAGCCGCTCCGTGGCCTCGGCTTGATGGGTCCTAGCCGATACTCTGACGCTGAGTGAAAAACGCATTGATTTCTTTTCAAGGTTCACGACGCGTCTATTGAGACGTCGTGTCTAAATCATTGGTGCCAGCCGGCGGGTTCGCGACGACGCGTTCGAATACTCTGAAGGTGTATACGTGTTACTGCGTACGTGTGTAGCGCAGTCTGTGAGCCGCCGGACAATTATCATGCAGAAAAAGCGGCACACAAAGACCCAATGCTGCAGGTGATGCAAAACACAGCTTATGCAAATGTGGTGGGGAATATCAAAGAGTCTAGGGCGGTTGGCGTAGTCCCAATCGAGGCAACGTTGTGATCAGTGGCCGCCGTCTCAACGATTCAGGTTGTCTGCCGTACAACAAAGGCGGCATTTAGTCTGTTTCAAGCCCCTCACCGCTCCCTCTGATGACAAAGTCGTCCCGTTACTGCAGGAACTGACTCAAAGGGCAAACGATACAGTGGTGGTGGGGAACGCTCAAAGCCTGGCTGGATCAGCCCTTTACACTAGAGCAACGTACTGCCTGGCGATCCGAGAACACGGGATAGGCCCCAGAGGCGCCGCGTTGTGGATTATCGAAGATCGATCTGCTGCCCAGCTGGGATATGGAGCGGCGCTAATCAAGGCTGGCAGATCCCTCTTCAATTTGCCCACGAAAAAGAAATTTGTGTGGGACGGCTGCAGGCAGAGAGTAGATGGCTTCAAAAAGTTGAGGGCCTAAGAATATGCCCAGGCGTGCCAGCGTAGGTAGTGAAGTAGTAAGCTACATTCCAGAATGGCGAGGTAACTTGGTATGCTTTGTATGAGCACATCCAGAGCTGATATGCTGGTCGTTTCGTACAATGTCGGAAAGCATCCGGGCTCAGGCTTCCTGTTGTACCTATCTCTGTAGAGGCTGTGTTACGCGCGCAGGTTCGCGGCTGAGACCGCTATAATAATAAGTCTGATGGATGACAAAGTTCGACATATTGACGCCTATGCAGGCATGTTGTCGGCGCCGAAGGAAGAGCGACGTCCATACAGCCAGTGGCTGTCTGCCGGAACATAAAGTCTAACAATATCCGTTGCATTCCCATCATTTATGAACGGAGAGGGTCCGTTGCTGCAACCACGGTTCCCAATGTGTGCTGGGTAAAGTCGAGGAAGGCAAAGTGACGAGTCCGTGCAAAATCTGTATCGAGTCTGGTGTCGTAGAGTGTCTGCCTCGGTGCACTTGTCTCCTCAGATGCGTCCTAGTGATCCCACCATGCCGAAGTATAGACTGATAGCGTGGCAAGAAGCTGGTTTCCCGATGCCGATAGCAATTGTTCGTATTGTGGACTGCACGCGTGTCCGTGACATAGTTGGCCAACCTAGTTGCTTGTAAAAGAGCGAAAACTCGGGTCAACTGCGACGGCGTGTGGAGATGGTGAGTGAAGAGGAGCGCGTATACTCGCAGTATGGCACAGAGTTCTCGCTAGGGAGCAACTATGCGGGATAGAGTTGGATTGGTGGCGCGAGTCGGGGATCTGAGGGCGAGTGCCTCGGTCCTGCGACACACAAAGGGGGCTCCAACGTGAAACTCTGTCGAGGCTTGTACTATCGATGGTAAAATTTGCCCAATTTCTTGAGGAAACTCAAGGTGGTGATGGGCGGCATTCGAACAGCGGCCGTTTGCAAAGGTTCAGGTCTCGTGATAAGCTTGCCAAACCCCATATGACAGGTAGAGGTGAGATGAGGTCCGAGGAACACTTCCAGACGAACAGGCTACAGCCCTTGTCACGCAGCCTATGCAGGAACAGAATTTCCTTGCAGACACGTGTATGTCGTGCAAAGGCAAGACGCAGGGGGCGGAAGGGCAAACAAATGAGTGTGAGAATCTAGGTACCTTACCGTAGGCATCTTTCGCTGGAATTTTTTGGTGAGAAATGAACGAAAGGTACTCTGTAAGCAGCGTGAAAATAAGCAGGAACTGGCAGGAAGCAAACAGAGAGAGCAGATCCTGCCTTGCCGATTGGCCCTTTCTCCCCGACTAAGAGCAGGCCTGTCGTCGATCGCCTAAAAAGGCAAGGCTTCTTGTCGAGTACATGTACCCCTGTCCACAGCCCCTGCTACATCCACGCTTTGCCCGCCTGACGTGAACCCTGAACCCTGGATCATCTGTGAGGCCCCCCCGCCAGCCGCCGTCTTGCAGACCCACTTTCCATCCCCTCCTCCAGCTGAGTGGCCAGACAGAAGGAACGCCATTCATCATCGCAAAGTGCCGCATCCAGGCGTCCCTTGTTCCAGCCTCCTAAGCCATCCGACCTCTTGATCTTCCCTCTTGTTTCTCTATTGCACGGGCTGCCCTGTGGTCTTGCAAAGAGCATGGGTCGTATCTTGCCTTGCGGACACTATGGGACGGCATTTGATGGGGAACTTTGCCCGTCCCTTCAGACTACGTAGTATGAGTACCGGTACAACCCTTGCCTCGCACTCACTCACCTACGCAGTAGGTCAACCCGTTCGCCCTGGATGAAATGGAAGCTTCTGTTTGGCCAACTTTGTTTGTCCGACGCAGACTCGTCGCAACCTTACCCGTGAGGAACCTAGTCCTACCTTAAGGTAAGGTATTGTGTAAAACGCTGTCAGCCCAGAGTGCTCGCAGGCTCTGTGTTACATTCGCTTCGCTTGTTTCGTTGGTCGTGCTAGCAGCCCGCAGTTGCAACGCCCAGATACTGATACTGTCGATACGAGACTACCATGGTAGGTTCGTCAAACGGCTACATGGCTTAGCCGATCAATGATGCAAGTGACGGCGGCTTGCACAACTGCCAAAGCAGTCTGCCATTGTTCCCCGAAGCTGGAAACGCCGACGGACTGGCTCCTGCGACACCCGACGCTGAGGTCAAATCGGATTATCGATTTGGGTCCTAGTCTCAAGCCATTCAGTAACGACCAGGGAGAAGGCGCCGAGGAGCTTGCTCTAAGCCTCCAATTCTTCGTAGACAAGTACCTAGGTGGTAGTAAGTAAGGTACCGGAAACCTTTCGACTAAACGCCCCAGACCTGCCACCACCAGTCACCCATCTCGACCTGAAGTGTCTTTGAACGCTACCGTCTTACTAAGGAACGCACGCGGTCTCGCTAGCTCATTAGTGAGCGTTGGCCGAGGGCGAAGTAAGACGGATTCCGATATCCCACACCGAGAGCAGACGCGCCGTTTCGTCTTCACCTTTTCCAATTCCATTTCTTGGTGCGCCTCCGTTTCTGCATCCAGCGTTCCGGCGTCACGAGGGTCACCTACATTGAACCTCAGGAATCATTCGACAACACCTCCTGCTTCCTGCCTCTTGCCGTCTGCCACCTTCCGTTGCCCCCAGCCAGTCCTTCCTCAGGTGGGAAGTAAGGTGAGGTAGGTACCTTACCTTAAAGTATTCAACACTGGCAGGCCGCAGCACACCATTGGATTGCACTACGACTGGAATTTGATCATAAGATGCTCGGCTGAGGATTCTGGCCTTGATTTGGTTGGTTCGTTCTTTCATTCGGACAAGACGACGCATCTTTCCATATAGGCGACCAACCCCAACAAGGCCTCAAGCTTACCGCACCATCCCGTCCCAGACATCCGGTCACTCTTTCCACATCACATCCCCTTTTTCTCGCTGGGAAGCCACTGCGTCGTTGCCAACCAGACTAGCGACTTGGGGCGTAGCTTGGAGACGCCAACCATTTGTCTACTCTCTCTCTCGTGTCTCCCTAAATCAGGAACATCGACTCGGTAGAGCCAAGCCACTTTTTCTGGCCCTTGTGCCGCCGGCCGCGCTTACGTCTACGCCTACTCCATTACACCTCTTTATTCTCTCCAGGTCTGCTCATCATACTTTTCCCGCCCGATGGCCGTTGGATTTCTCCATTTTTCGCATCCCAATTTCTCTTCTCTCTTTCTGCTCGTCACTGCTCTTGCTGTTGACTTGGACGAAGCTGGCCAACGTGCGAGAATCGGCAACTGGTTGCACTGATTCACACCTTCCGCCTTTTATCGACGTTTTCTTCAGTTCGCTAGCAAGATCTTTCCGACTATCGAATACACTCAATTGCGTTACTTGAACGCTTCATCTCACCTCTTCTCCGCGACTACCACATAATTCATAATCGGCTCATCCGTTCGCGACTTCACGCCTCTATCAATATTCATCTCCCCCGGACGACTCTCCCCAATGGCCGAGCCTGCTGAATATCATGGCGGCCTCGTTGCCTTCGAGGGTCCCCACGACCTCGTTTCGACTCAGCTCCGTCTTCTACCTACATCATCGCAAATTGCCATCCTCCCCAGCGTCAAGGAATTTCTCGAGCCCGAGAACCCCGATGAGCCGTTTGAAGCGCGCAAGTTTATCAGGCGAGTTCACAATGCTGTCGCCAAGAGAAGGGACACCGCTTTGGAATTCTTGAAGGATTCGACCCCCAAGCGTAAGAGACTGGTCTTCATGAATGGGGGTACGCCCAGCGCGCAGACGGTCTGCATCAGAGCCATCTCTCGGAATGAGACAGAGGGAGATATATCCAAAGCCGAAGCAATCTTCAACGACCTTGTTAAAGGTGGCGTTGCCGGCCTCGAGGACCCCGCCAACTCAAGCGGCTCGTTCCTTGATACCTCAGAGGAAATAAGCGAGGATCCCATCACCAGAGCTATGCGTGCTGCCGATGCTCTCGACCGGGAAACTGCAAACTTACAGCCTTCCAGCGACATCGACCTCACCACTCCTGCCGGCCGTCCGCGCCCGAGAAGCATGAGCCTACCCATGTATAGCTTCGCCGATACCTTTGGTGATATGGCATCCTTCTACGTCTTTGGTGGCCAATTCAGTGAAGATCATATCAAGGAGGAGGGGCAAGTCGAGGCTACGACTCAACATCATGGCCCAACACCTAGACTCGCCATCACGGATTTTGACGAGCTTGAAAGAGTCTCCGGTGAAGGCTTTGATAGTGACGGCAAACCCATCGTCACTGCTCCATTTCGGTCTCCAAGCTGTGTGGGCGAGGCATATGAGCGGGATGATGTATTTTCATCTTCTTCACCCAACGCTCCTGGCCTTCTCGACGTGGCATCTCCCAGATCTGACGTCTTCAGCATCCGTTCGACAGAGCCAATATACATCGAACAAGCCTCACTCGTCCGTATGAAGTCATCCGCCTCTTCCAGGACTTTGAAGCGATCACAGTCGATTAGCCATCTTCATCGAAGCAACTCTCGCTACAGGGACACTCTCATGCGGCTGAAGCCTAAGGAGCAAAGTACTGCTGAGAGAACTCACAACGAGAAGCCCCCCGCTGAGAACTTGTTGCTTTCCGCTGAGAAGACTGCTGCCGAGAAGGTTGCCGAGGGTCGCCCTGTGTCGGTAGTTGAACTCATCGAAGACGCCGAAAAACGCGAAAGTAGCGCTAAGCGCGTCGAAGGCCCGAAGACAATCTATGTCAAAGCAGCCCGGCCAAACAAAGGAGTCAACAAGGCATTGCCGCCCCCTCCACCTTCCGAGAAGAGACTGCGCAAACGTAAGCATACCAAGTCTAGGTCGAAATATGTCGACAGAGGAACCGATGCCGAAGATGTCGAACTGAATGAGACGCCGTTCCGACCTGTCCTGCCGTTCTATGAGGACCTGGTCATTCACTTCAAGGACGACAGTCCAGACCCAATCCTGGAATACATGATCAAGGCTTTCAGAGAAGGTGTTTATCCTGTTACACTGCCTTCTTCTGCTTCCTCCGGCACGTCTACTGCGGATGGTGACAGATCGACCCCGCAGACTCCAACATGGCAACTGGCCGAGCCTGAAGTCGCACAGTTCACGTCCACGACGAAGGTCAGCACAGAAGAGTACGACCCTTTCTCCTACCAGGGTCCGACCTACACTGCGAAGCCAGTCCAGCCTTTCACTCGGACTGTGATAAGATCAGCTTTGCCGACGCCTGCGCATACACCTCCGCCCACGGTATCCGAGTCGGAGGATAAGTTCCACGATTTCAACGCCGTGCACGGTCAGACGGCTGTAGCCATGCAGAACTCCCTCAGATCAGTGCTTAACATCTACTTCCCACCCAAGGGAAGAGGATTCTCCCAATTCAACTTTCCGTTGCTTCCCGAGATGGACGCGTTGTGGAAGCCGATATTCCGGGACGTTGAGCCTGGTGGAAGTCCAAGAAAAGACAATCACCGGATAGACCAAATCTTGGCCATAGGTGCGCAACGTGGGGTCAAGAGAACATTTGTCTCTGGAGTGACCAGTCAGCTTGAGAAGTTGGGCACAAAGTCGAGCGGCATTTCGAGGACCGGCAGGCTGGATTTCCGGTAAGTTGTTTGCTTTGCGTGATCTTTCCATCACTTGACTAACGAAACTTCTCAGATATCTCATTGCGAACGCGATGCAGTCCTTCACCGCACAGCCGCTGGCCAACCAGACTCAAGACAACCCCTTCACCAACTCATATCTTCTGGCGACGCTTATCATTCCTCATCTCGAGACTTTCTTTGCTGCGCACTCCGAAGTCCGCTTTCTGATTCTCGACTACCCTCCCGATCATCTTGCCACCATCCTCGCTTTGCAGAAGTTGGTCGGTGTCGACTTGATGAAAGTTGCCCAAGTTATTGATGCTCAGGCCAAGGAGCCACTTCCCTTCACTCATGTTCGAGGTAGCTCCTTGGGGCGTATCCCTACTGTGAGTGACTTGGCTTCGAGTTCAAGCTCACTCCAGTCCAAGGGATCGAGATCTGCCGCATCGACATCTTCGCGAGATGGGCTGGCAGTTTCCAAGGCCAACTTTCTCCTCGCATCCACCGCAACAGAGGCGGAAGTTGCGACTTTTGTGTCCACTATCTGGAAGATTCTGATCAACATCTCCAAGTTTTACCTGCCTGAAGAAAGCAAGAAGCTTGAAGAGAGTATCATCAAGAGCAAGCGGCAATCCGGGAACTTCTCGGCATTCCCACAGGTTTCGATGAGCCCTCCGATGTCTCCGCCATCCTCCAGTGGCCGCAAGGCCGCGAATAGGGCATCAGGCTCTATCAAAACTTCAGTCCGACCTTCTTCCATCGCAGAAACAATCATGAGTCGGCGTTTCAAGTCACGACGAGGCGACAGGAAAAGCGTCGGCGATGTCGCATCCATCTTGACCGTCGATATGGACTACGAGAGCGATCTAGACATCGAGGAAAGACGTTTGATGCCCATGTTCTTGAAGAAGAATCAGGTCCGGAAGGGAAATAGCCGCAAGGCCCTTAAGTTTCTCGGCCTAGCTTGATAAGTCACTTTGTGACTTTGTACCGTTACTTTTCTCTGTATGGCCAAGGAATTTGTCCCTGCATCTTTTTTCATTTTCTTTGGAATGACCCCATCACGACGTTTCATGCTCAGTCTCAATACCATGGCATAAGGAGTTGTATCATGTTCGAAGAAGAGCCACATCATGTCGAAGGGGGGAATGGGACAGAGGGCCGAGAGATGGATGGATACTTGCTGCTCGGTTTCAAGACCGATGATCTTGTTCTTTGCTCTTATCATCAGTTCAGAGCGCGTCATATGCGCGATCTCTCGGCTGCAGTCGTGGCTGGACAATACCCAGGGATAGATCTCCCATAGATACGAAATGAAATTTTTCAGAGCGCCTGTATTCCTTCTTCTTGGTCTAGCTGCTACGGCTACTTGGCGCGTGAGAGTGATGGTAGTACCCTACCAAGTAGGATATCAATACCTGACTTGTGTAGTACATCTCGAACAGGATCAAAGGCAGATAGCAGCGGCCTTGACGGACACTGCAACATCGAGTAAGACAGACTAACATCAGGACCATCGGTATAATAGCAGTAGCTCAGGCTGCCTCGACATCTCCATCCAGAACAACTCACTGCTATTGAAATCCAGTTTGACTAAATCGTTGCGCATTTGCCCCCAAAGACATCTGGGCACGCACAAAAGTCCTAGACATAGTTATCACGCCGACTCGAAAGTCTAACAACACCATATAGCTCTCCTATCAAAATTATCTCCCCAACCCCCCACCTTCGTCTACAGCACTTGGCCTCGAAGGTATCTATCTCAACTGCCATTAATATCTGAATCCAGTGCTGGTCTGAAGGATTACGGAGATGTCAGGTTTTCCGGGTTTAAAGTTTGAGGTGATATTTTCAATATAGGGAGACTGGAGACAACTCTCAAGTGGCCCTTAACGGTACTTGTGACTCACAAAGAGTTTATTTCTTTCGATAACAAGGTACCCAGAAGTAGGAAACCACAAAACTCAGCATGCCGCCTCCAAAAATCGCCATGGGTCCATCTCCATATGCCTTTTGCCTGCCTTCAAAACCCCAAAGGCTGCCCCCCTGAGAATCAGCCGAACATTCAACAACCAACAACCAAGGTCCTTCGTCTAATACTTACCATCCAACACCCAAGACGAAAACAACAAGATGAGCCAACTAGTGGACTACAACGACTCCGACGAGGATACCATACCGGCGGGTACCCCCTCCGACAACGCCATCCCACGCCACATCCAACAGCACTCTGAGATTGACCAATTGTCTCAGGATCTAGAAAAAACCCGTCAAACCTCGGCGCACTTGGACAAGATGCTGAACAAGTTCAAAGAAGTTGAAAAATCAGAGCTTTCTCGGCTGAAGGGAGAGGGTATTGACGTGCCGACGGTGCGTCTCGTTTGGCTTGATCTGAACTACAAGATCTGCCAAATGGAAGAAGATCTCTTGGCTCTTCGAGAGACATCAAGGGAAATCAACAGCGAGGCGGCGGCGCAGGAACATATCAAACTGAAAAGGTGCCGAGACTCTCTGGGTCAGACAATGTTCCAAAAGAGGTCCCATATTATCGAGAATCTCGACGTGGCGATCCTCTGGGGACCTTATGCCAGGACCATAGCCCAGGGTATGGAGACCTACTACGGCAGGTTCGATAAATACCAGACGAAGCCCCTGAGAACTAGCAATCGGTTCCGAAACAAGGCGCTGGTGTACTACAGAGGGTATTCCTATCAACACCAGGCCGCAGAAATCTCCAGGACGGACACCGAGATGGCAGACTTTTTGGCCGAATCCTACCAACACTACTGGTGTCACGCCACCGGCTCGTGGATGTTCCAAGAAACACGAGAGGACAAGCGTGATCCGCCCGCGTATCAGTGCCATGCCGCTGCGAACATTGTGCCGCATTTCTCAAACGTACCTCATGAGATCTTAGAGGATCTTTTCGGTGAGAGAGAGCGGGAATTGAGCGGGCCGGCGAATTCACTTTTACTTTCGATGCAGATCCAGTATTGGTTCAACCATTATAAGCTAGTCATTGTCCCCGTTGATCCGGAAGAAAAGCCACTCAAACGATGGAAGATCGACATCCTCGACAAGGACATAGAAGATATTGACCTCCACGCCGTGAGGTTCACACCTGGCGGCAAAACACCTCGCTTTGCCAAAAGCCTTCAGGACAGAGAATTGGTATTCCTCAACGACAAACGGCCGGCTGCGCGATTTCTGTATTTCCATTTCATTATGGCACTTATCCGCTTGAAGGATACCAAGTCGGAGAGCTGGAAAGACGCCCGAGCAAAGTACTTGTCTCGTGACCCGTCCCCATCACTTCTTCACTTCCTACCTCTTTAAGGGGTAACACCCTTCTCTCCCCCCTTCATCATGGGCCACACCCATTCAATATCTGTTAGAGTATATTCTCCTATGTATATAAGAATAATTTTGATGCAAAAGGGCAGTACTTGTGGTGTGAGTAGTGAAAGCAGTACTTATTCAAATGTATGGCAGGAAATCGATTATGTTAACTTTGAGGGGTAGGCTCGATTCCTGGTTTGACTTGCAAGTGGTTCGTACAGAGTAACTTCCAACGCTATCTTTCCTTGTAGTGCGACTGCCCAGGCGCCCAAGAAGGTGAAAGAGCGGAGCAATCCATGGAACATGAGGCGAGTTCGATGACCGGTCGATCCGAAACCCCCGTTTCCGCCACCCATCAAACTCCTGTTCGACTTGAAAACTGCTCGTCGACTGGGCTGGTAAACGCCTAGATTGATTCAGGCTGAGACCTCACGCGGGATGTCTTTCACGAACTGGAAACAAAGCGGAATCATCACCCTCGCTTGTCGCAATATCAAGAAGGAAAACGTCACTTGCCCATTACTTCGACCCTATCTACCAGAAAAGCAGCAGCCGCCAAGGAAGGGAAACTCGAAAAAAGAGAAGACATATGGTTGGGAACAAACGCGCAGACACCCATACGTACGGCCCGCTGCGTTGCCTATGTGCTCGCCCCCCGGCCAACCAAGCTTGATTGCAAAGCACACGATGCGCCGGCAAAATAGAGCCTACGCTTGTAATACACATCGAGTTGACCTTGTTAGTCCCTCTGCGCTCCGTGAGATCCCCAAAAAGTCTCCCACCGAACGCCCCGAGTCTGGCTTCTGAACTGCCGTCAGGCACCAGGAGCCCTGTCGTTTGCCGTGAACAACGCCTTGGGTCCAGTTACAGAGGTATCTTGTGTCGATTGTGTGTGTGTGCAGTGCGAAGGAGCTGGGACGAACCAAATCAACACTCATCTATGCGTAGAAGTATGGAAAGCAGCCTTTGCGCGGAAGGAGAGAAAAGCGAACGACACAGCATCGTCCGAGCCAAAATGTGATCCCTACACCGTCATGTGCTGTGCATTCCCTTCCTCGCCCATTCTGCCCAGCTGTATCCCCTCCGCCGAGAAAAATCCGTAAAATGCCATGAAACACAGGTAAGGAAAGCGGGCTTCGTAGAAATCAGGGACGATACATTTAGCAGCAGCCACCTCCCGAGTTCGAGGAGACACCGTGGCCGGGGCCAACCTGTACGGAGGGTTTCGTGTTGTTCGCGGTCGTGCTACCCATGCGCTCCTTGATCTGGCGGGCCATGGTCAGGAAAGCCTGCTCGACGTTGCTGGCGTTCTTTGCAGAGGTTTCAAGGAAGGGGATGCCCAAGCTGTCGGCAAATTCCTATTGCAGGGTTAGCAAACAGATGGTCAAAACAAAGAACTTTACAGTCCGAGTGGGAGTTGTCGAGCAGTATGGTGCCTCAACAGCCGGCGGGGGTAATCTGACCTTGGCGACGGTGTACTCGACAACCTTCTTGTCGGACATATCGCTCTTGTTGCCAACGAGCAGCTTGTTGACGCCCTCGGTGGCGTATCTGTCAATCTCCTGGAGCCATTGCTTGACGTTGTTGAAAGAGTCCATGTCGGTGACATCGTAGACGACGCAGATGCCGTGGGCACCACGGTAGTAGGAGGAAGTAATGGTGCGGAAACGCTCCTGACCGGCAGTATCCCACTACGAAGTAGGTAAAAATGTCAGCATTTGCGACAGCCTCATTTTCTCGACAATGTTCTCCGCCAGGATCAACTCACGATTTGCAGCTTCACCGTCTTTCCATCGAGCTCTATCGTGCGGATTTTCTAAGGTTTATCGTCAGTAGCCGATCGGTCGGCGTCGGCAGAGTGGGGGATTTCATACAAAGTCGACACCGATGGTGGAGATGTAGGACTCGGTGTATGTGTCGTCGGCGAATCGCAACAGAAGGCAAGACTTTCCAACACCGGAATCACCGATGAGGAGAAGCTTGAAGAGGTAGTCGTACCTGGCGTTGGGTCAGTATCGGTGTCGAAACTAAATCATATCGGCGATTTTCGCGCTTTGCGCGCTATGGCAGCGAAAAGATCGAAAAGACGATATCGATGGAGGGGGGGAGACTCTGTGAGAGAGAACAAGGTCAGCTTAGCGGCGACTCCCGAGGATTCCACGTTTCGCAAGGCAAGGAGGCGGAGGAGGCGGTTGAGGCAACGTACTACTCGGGGTTCATTGTGAATAGCGGGGGTTCTGAACAAGGCTGGTAGGGATCGAGAGATGCGACGGATATAGGCGCGCTGGGCGATTATATGGACGTTGTGTAGGTGTTGGGAGGTTGATGGATTTCGGTGGTGTCGTGTTGAGGTTCCAGGTTGTGAAAGCAACAAAGCCAGAGTCAGGACAGGTCAAGTGAGGTGGTAGGAGTCGGACGGAGTAAATGCAGGCTGCTGCTACGTCAAGGCTTCTAGCGCGGTGTACAGAGTACCAGTCAGGTGCCAGTCTCTGATTACCTTAGTGCTCGGTGTCCTGTGCCCAGAGTCCTGTGTCCAGTGCAGTGACCAGTGGGTTACCGCCTGGCGGGAGGAACAAAAGGACCCACGTTCGACCTGGGCAGTCAGATGTCACCGACGAATGAAACTCTTTGGAGAGGCTAGTAAGGCACGGGATCAAGCACGTGATGCATCTTTCTTAGTGTTCTGGACCGGCCCCAGTGGGGCTGTCCAGACACCTCTGTGACCTTGGAGAGGCAGGCACCTGGCACGCAGGCAAGGCAGGGACGACGGGTTGAGCCTGTCCTTATCCAGTGGCGTCCTCCAGGTGTCTGCGCCTCCACACTACATACTTCTGGGACATCGGATTTCGGATGCAGTACGTAAGCAGGTGCCGGGGTCCGTCCTCGTTCCTGCAGTCCTTAATATCAGGGGGTCAAGTGCTATTCGTCTTCCATGAAACGCCTCCGCCAGCAGCTGCGACCTGCGGCGAAAAAGTTTCCTTTCAAAATGTCGGGTAGTATCTGATTTGGGGGCTCTTTCAACGTTGGAAAGCTTGTTTCGTTTTTTGCCATCAATTTCGGTTCTATCATCTCCTAATACCCTTGCCCCGTAAGCCACTGCCACATAAAGCAAGTTTTGGATAATACGGATATCTCCAGACCAGAGACCTTGAAAGGTATCCCTTTTTCTGGAGGAGAGGCCGTTGGTGCCAGGACTCCACATTCTGCGGTTCATGTGGAGCTTCTCGGGTCTTCAACCTCACTCATCCCGCATATCTACTTACACATGCAAAAACCTTGGCTGACTTTCCATTCCCTTTTGATATGTGACACGGTTGATGATTGTCAGGAAAGAAACCCCAAGGTAGCACTGCCAACCCCAAAGGTGATGAATCTCTTTGTCCTTCCCTCCTGAAGCTTAGTTCACCAGATAGGAGTCCTGACTGCCCTTGACTCATCATTTCGCACCGCCCTCTACTTCCGTTGCTTATGATGATGGCTACACTACTGTTGAGTGACCTCAAACAGAGAATGATGATGACCGGCAGGCATCACCGTGACAATTTCATCTCTACCGGTGGTAAGATCGTCGACTTTGACCGCCGGCCAGTCAATTTCCCTCTCCTGGAGAAACTACTCATGATATCGAAGTCCGCAAAGAAGCTGCCGCTTCAGTTGTCATGGGCCTCTTTTTTAATCACAGCTTTCAGTCCAGCCATGGTCACTGAAAACTCGACAGCGCCATCCAGACCCTGCCCCGTAGCTTTCGAGTGAGGAGCGAAGACCACTTTCATCCATCGTCGCCAGTTCTTGAGCGCCGGCATGCCCCGATCATCGGCTTCATCTTCTATGTGCCGATGCACTCCATACACGGGCTTCTTGAAAAGCGCGATGCGGCACGCAATTTGTGTTGACCACACAAGACCTAGACTGGGCGTCTTGAGCCCATAGTCTGCAAACGGATCGTCGCCCCATCCCGTAAACCACCGTTGCTGGTGGTCAAATGCGAGCGCGGGAGGCGCAGGCGGGCCGAAGTCATCCAGGCCGGGAGGTTCAGGCATGCTAGAACGAACATGCTCAGCTATGGACGATGTCGGTTCGACCGCCGACGGTGAGAAAGCTCTCAGCCCTCTGCTCCGCGATGCCAGTGGACTTTCCTGGGTGAAACTCGGAGCAACAGCCGCAGGCGCCGCTCTAGGAGTCGCCACCGGCGCAAAAGGACTAGAGAAGCGATCCGCAACTTGGTTGGCGACAACAACAGCCAGGTTGTATGTTTGGGCCAGCTCTCTAAGCAAGGCTCCAAGTCGCGTGAGTTCGTTGCTTCGGGCTCCCATATTTGACCCATGATTGCCAAGAGCCCCCCGCTCAAATTCGGCTCGGTAGTTAGAGGCGACAGAGTCCAAGACGATGAGTCCAGTATTCCGCCTCTCAACCTCTACGGGGACTTGAAATTGGAGAATGTGCTCCTGTGACTCAAGGTCAGGTGTCGAGGTGCTGAGGATGCCGTCTAGAGACGGTTTGTCTTCCGGTGAGAGGTCGGCGAACCGCGGATTGGATGACAGTATTTGCGATAGACGCTTGGTGGACAACTGAGCCTCTGTCGTGATGTATATGGCCGGACGCCCTAAGCCATACGGCGGCGGCAATTGAACGGCCAGTAATAGGGATAGCAGAAATTGCGTTTTTCCAGCGCCGCTTTCGCCCGTGATCTCGGTCACATAGCCGGCTGGGATTCCTCCACCCAAAGCTCGGTCAAGGGAGTCATCTAGAGTGCTAATGGTAGACCATTGATTCTCAAGGTCCGTCAGAGAGCGCTTGAGAAACCGGCTAGCCTTTGGCGGCTCGATGGCAGAGCCGAAGTCGCGGTGGAGGGCATCGACGACGGCAGCGCAAAGTCTTTTGATGTCAAGCAAAGGCAGTTGAGTGCGCTTGCCTATGTCAACGACATCCTGAGTTAGTAAATCTGTGACGGAAAGCTGATGGCGTTCCAGAGTCTGCAACAGCCCAGCAAACTGCCTAACAGGGAAGTCAGGTATCAGTTGAAGCAGGTCGGACATGGCATGTGAAGAGAGTCCGGCGGCATGGATTGTCAAATGACCTCTATATTCTCTTTGATTTCTCCTGTCTCCGATCTGTTCTGAAGAGTTGATGCCTCGTGATGGTAGGCTTGGTGAGAAGGATGTGAACAAGAATCGTCACAAAGGAGCTTGGGAGCCGTTATGAGGGGTTCGGCTAGTCGAATGAGTAGTAGTAAAATGTTTGGTAAGATCTGATCGCCAAGAGCGCGCCGCTGCTTCTTGTCGTATCGTGTCGATTACACGGAATGGGAAGTTATGGCCAGGATTGGTCTTGCAAACGGGCGCGTATTCACCTACATATATGGAAGGTATTGGTGCACGCCATCATCACACAGACAGAGCCAATGGAGAGGTTGATGAGGTTGAGGAGGTACGTACCTGAAGGTGGTCATTGTTGATTATGTCATCACGCACACTGGCTGAGATCTGCTGGTACTGGCATAGAGTCAAAATAGCCAAATGACTTACGCAGTTAAAGCAACCAGTCCCTTTTTTGCGATATGCATGCTTTTAAAACTTTCACTCTGATCTTACAACTGACCCCGATTTCCTTGATTTTGAGTGCATGAGGAGGTGGGCCATGTCCGCTCTCACGCCCGCGAAGTGTTCGAGTTCAACGTCCACTGCGGGGCCGACAGCACCCCTACCTAGGTAGTCATGCTTGGGCATTGACATAGACCTCCTATATATCCGCCGTTGTCGGTGACCTGTCAGCGCGCAAGCAGGAGACGGGTCCGATATATCTCGTCTCTGGATGGCCCAACTCGGGTACCGGGTCGGTCATTATTTCAAGGTGATACTGCATCGCATGGGACTCAAGTCTGTTCCCAGGTACCATCTTCATGCTCACGCAGGACAACGATATCATAGACGCCAGCTGCCGAAGCAGAAACGACGCTCGGAGGTCAAAGTATAAGGGTAGAACCCATGAAGGAAGATAAGTAGTGCTCGCATAAAAGGGGAGAAGGATGTCACTCGAAGCATGGATGAAGAAGCGGGATTGCTTGCTTGGTAAAATTTATGTTGCAAATGGGAACAGAAATCAAGCGTTAGAATTTCTTGCGACCCAAAATGTTGAAGACAGCAGATAGGCTATTCCATCTATCCCTAGAATCCTGGCATACCTAGCTTGAGAGCGACGAAAGACCTGAGACACTCTTGTTTCCCCATGGCTTCTTCGAAATCACGTCAGAAAGATGGTCGACTGGGCCGTTGTAAGAGCAGTTCAAGGCCATTAGGAACGGTGGGAAGATATCCAAGCCCAATTTCAAGTTAGAACATCTCTTCATCCTTGGCTTTCTCGCCCACAAACGTCGTTGGTACCTTATTACTGGTAGCTCTAGCAAGGCATTGCTTACTTATTTGGCTGTGATGATTTGAGATTCCGTCTCAGGTTGAATCCATTGGCGTTAGCGTGGTTACCATCCTGCCGTAGTAGCTAATTAGTATCAAGATTGAAAGGTGTTGGACATCTCACGTATAACAATGACTCTCAGGGAGTGATAGATAGTTGCTTTCCATCCAGTATAACGGATTCTTTCATGTGAATGATTCATGTTTTGTCTGCCGAAGATACGGCACCACAGCTTTAGCAATATTTTAGGCAAGACGCCTGGGCAACCCAGACAACACTGACGATGGCGAATCATAGCATGCCCAGCAAACAAGCCTCTTAGGTGTGCAACTGAGGCCGATATACTAGTAAATAAGAAAGGTCTTCATCGTCTCATCGTCATATCTGAATACGCCTGATTCCTCGTTCTCGGTTCAACTCAAGGCCCTAGACTTGGAGGGATCCATCGGTGGTCTATATTGGCGCAGAGAGACAACCCACCCGACGGATACAATGGGAACTTAACAGTGGAGTACAGAGCTTAGAGGGGCGGAGTTCAAAAGCGGTTAGAGGAAGAGCTGTCCTCCAATCACAAAGCATCTTTGCCTTCAAGCGAGCCACCGAGGGACGTCGAGCAATAGCGCACTATCTAAGTGGAAGGTGTCCTCCACTCAAGCGCCTGCCTGCCTTTGCCTTCCTACCTACCCGGAAAGGGGGGCGCAGAGCGGAGGTACCTTCTATTGATGTTTCTGGAGGTAATGTCTGCGAAGTTTTGGTCTGTTGGCTAGGTATAATGACGAATTTCCTCTGACTCTCTCTATCCCCCCTGGAATCTGGGTTTCAACTGAAGAAGGCTATTCGACTGACATGTCAGGCCAAGATGTAAGAGAAAGGAGCGCACTTACCCGAATTTCCATGTTATCGCTGTACTATACATTACCTTATATAGGTACTCAGGTGGAAGGTACCTAGGTAGTAGGGAGGTCGCTCACGGCTTGATGAGGAAATCTACATTCAGCAGAAGGAACGGCCACTGCCCTCCACACCTTCGCCTTGTCCCCTTTCCTATAGGTTCCATCGACGATGACATGGATTTTATATCGCTTCAATTTTATTTTAATTTCCCACTTCTACTTCTACAACACATTTTGCACTCGTAACTTTGACTTTCAGTTCGAAAACCACACC